ACATGTGATACGGTCACACTTCCGCTTTAACCCGAATCACCTCACATGATTCTACTCCGCTTTAGCCTACCCCCATATTAAGTATGTAATATTTTTATAAAAATTTTATATTCTTAAAGTTTCATCACGTAAGTGGGGATTTAGCTCAGTGGTAGAGCAATTGACTGCAGATCAATAGGTCACCGGTTCAATCCCGGTAGTCCCCTTTACAAATTTTTTCCTGAATTTTCATAACTAAACAATGTCTTTAAAGAAATGCAGTTAATACGAATACGAATATAAATAGAATATCAAAACTGATATATTATTATTATTTTTTTTAGACCCACTGTAGAATTTACTAATAATGAAAAATGTCGATTTCAAATAAAATTTATTTTTTAATTTTCGTATATAACTATATGTATTTCAAAGTTATGATATGAAAACGTTATGAAATGTTAACTCAATTAACTCTGAATATTAATGTTAAGAAGATATTTTGAAATCGAAGTGACCATAATAAAAAAATTGAACTATTTTATACAATATTGATCTAATGAACTTTTAATACATAAATGAATATGACATGAATTATGGCTAGAATTACGTCTAGAATTACGTCTAGAATTACAGATTACAGCTTTTAGTTGTAAAATTAGAATATTGTGGTAGATATCATTATTTAAGACAACACTGTCAAAGGTATTTTTTATTGAAAGTTATCTACCAAATCCTATAACATCCTTTCTAATTCATGTAAAAATTTCAAATTATTATTTATTTAATAAAAATTATGTATAGTTAAAGTTAAAAAATGATCCTTTTCATTTTTTCATTCTTGAGAGCATATTAAACATATTTAATAAAACCTAATTATTAATTTTTTTTTTCTAAGCATAAGATTATTGAATACTAAATTTTAATAATTGCAATGATAAATATAAGGTTTAGCAGGAGTTGTTATTTTATTTTATTTTCATCAAAGAAAAATCTCGATAATTCAATACAAATTTGATAGGTTATTAGAATTGTCTTATACTTAAAATGGTCAATTCCCTAAAATAATAATTTTACTGTTCTGAAACATGACATGCATTATAAATTATATAATCATTTTACTTAATAAATCCCTCTAATAGAATTTTTTTTTGTAGAGGTTTGATATAAAAACGATTCAGATACCTTATTTCTTAATTGAATAAAAAATACCTATGTTAATATCTTTTGTTGTCTACTTTGAGATCATATTTAAAAAAATTTCTTTTAGAACTAATCTAGCCAAGTAGAAATAACATTAGAATTTAAAATTCTTTAATTTTTGTTATCGTTACTTTTCAAAATAAATGTCATTGTTTTTTTTTATAACATCTAGTTTAGTTTATAAATATTTATTATATTACTGAAGAAATTAGAAAGGAGGTAATACTGTTCCATTAAATTGTTTTCGTATGCAAAAAAGAAATTCAGAAGGAAAGAATGCAGAAATGCAGAAGGTTATCACCACATAAGGACTTTTAAGATTAATGATATAGATAAAATTGGTTATCTAGTTTATTATGTTAAGCGTTTCAAGATGAGTAACTGTATACATTAGAAACAATAACTAATTTTGGTAGAAAAAGAACACAATTTATTGTTACATTTTATCCATTGAAATAAATAAATTAACAATAAGAAGAAAAATAAGAAATAAAACAATTGTCGTCAAGATATTTGAACAAATGATAACTGTATTTATACAACAAAAATTATTCAACATGTCTCATTATTATTTATAAAAACTCTAACGTCTCAGGGTTTTTATTAAAAATAGCTTTAACGTTTGCCACAAATTTATTATTATTTTTTTTTTTATGTTCTTTGTTTGAATTCTTTTAATCGAATTTTTTCTTGAGGAAAAAAGTTCATTTTATATATATATATCTATATATTTATATAATCTCTATACATTATTTCTTTATTCTTTAAAACCTTGCTTGTAGCAGAGTTTTGTTTCAAAAATTTGTTTTATGATAACCTAATTTTCTTTTCTTTTCTTTTTTACTTTGTTTTTTTTTTCTTGTGAATAATTTTAACGATAACAATTTATATATTGAAAAAAAAAGAAAAAGAAAAAAAATCTTATTTTTCTATATCTCGTATTTTCACCTTATTTGTGAAAGAAAACTACAATCTTTAATGGCTTCGAATTCTATCAACAATAACTCTTCACAATTACCGAATGTAAAAATCACAATATCAACTTCAGCACGAGAAAGATTGGATTCTTTGTTACAACAAGAAGCCGAATTCAATTTTACGACTTCTTTACCAACACAACAAAATGATCAACAACTTAAATTTCCTTCACAAGCTCACATTTCTCATATTTCAGTAAAATCAAGAAATAATGAAAATATAGTAGAAACTTCAGAAGAAATTCCAAATTATGAAAACACAGTGGTAGATATGCCTCCATCGTATCCAGTCAGTTTTAAATCGGAAAAATCTAATAGCATAATATTCATTCCAAGAGAAAATCCTCAACCATGGCCAATAACAAAAAAATTATTCTTTTTTGGATTTTTATTTTGGCCACTTTGGTTTGCCGGAATGGGATTCTCGGTATTTGCTAAAGATGCAAAGACAAGATTGTGGGGTCGTAGGTGTATTTGGAATTCATTAATTGTAGTAATAGTTTTTATTTATATAGTAATCGCATATATTCGAACTGACGGTAAATTGATTTCATGATGAAGTTATTTTGTAATTATTATTTTCTTCATTTATTTAATTAATATTTAGTATCCTTGTAAATGTTTTGTTTTATGTAACAAAATTTATGTCTTTAACTAGTAATTTTGTTTTTTAGTTCTTTTTAACATTTAATAATTTTACATAATTACATAATTTATTACATAATTTATATTATTTTGCATTTCAAATATTTTAAAATGGTTTTTGTCACCTTTGATAGGTACCAAAAAGTTGATAATAAAAAAAAAAATTTGTGGTTTTGTTAAAGCTAATGTATATTTTATATATAGTATTTATACAATTTTTTATAAGTATTTTTTATACAACTATGATTAATAAATATTAATATATTCGGTTACCTAAGTAAAGGTTGACTTTCACTATTATTATTTTCATGATTTCGTTCAAAAGTTGCTTCCTCTAAATCTTTAACTTTAGTTACTACACCTACAAATTCTAAGAATTCCCAAAGTATAGCGAATACTACGAATAACCACATACAAATAATATTGGTTGAACGGATTTGACAAGCTTTTTTAATGTCGGAAGATGGATAATCGTAATCTGGTGGACATGTAAATGGAATTTCGCCAAGTTCGTTTGATGTATAAAGTGTGTAGGTAACTGAAAAGAAAATAAAGAAAATAAAAGAAAATAATAAAAGATTTACGTTAATTTTGAAAAAAAAAAAATAATATTATTATTACTACTATTTCTTTGACTTACTCGCAATTATGATCCAATAAAACGTTACCCAGCTTTAAAAGTGAAAAATTTTTTTCGTTATTTAAGTGTCATATATAATACTATATATAGTATAGTATCTCTCTTTTTTGAATAATGGAAACATTAAAAGAACGTACAATAATTCTTCACATAATTTTTTAGCCAAGTCTTTAAGATGATGACCGATACCTGTTATTATTAATTTTGCTAGATATAAAGAAAAGAATAAATAAATTTTCATTTTCAATTTTCAAAATCATTTAATTAGAAATTTCTTACATGGTATCGCAAATGAAATACCCAAATAACTAAAAAGAGAAATATAAATTAATTATTTTTCTTTATCAAATCAAAAAGAAAAAGAAAAGGTTATAATGCTTACAAGTATTCAAGTATTTTACTTTTCAAAAATATATTTTCATCATCAATTTTACCGAATATGTCGAGTTTCAAGATTTCTTTGAAATAAAGAAAATATTTAAAAAAGATTAAAAAATATTCGGATTTGAAGTATCATTTTAATACGTATATATACCTAATATAGGACAAGCGAACATTAACAATACTAATGGAATTCCAATGATAACATTAAAGAAATGCTTTACACAAGACATTTTTTTCTTTTCTTAAAAAATTAGAAAGTAACTCTGAAAAGGATTTTAAGTGAAAAAAAAAATTGCGGAGATTTCAAAGATTTTGGAAAGGAAATTTTTATAAAGATAGACGATATAGAACGAATCGGGTAAATTAAATTTTTTTCTTTACCAAAAAAAAAAAAGAAATACATGTCATGTTTGTCAAGAATCTTTGTACTAGGTTATATCATCACTTTTTTATTATTTTCAAGTTTTTATTCTTGTTGAGTAATGCATTTGAGTAATGGTGTGTTCGTTTTTTCGCGTTTATTTTTAAATAAATTAAAAAATTAAAATTAAAAATTAAAAATAATAATTTACTATTTTTATATTAATTCAAAATGCTAAACTAAATAAAAATAATAATGATAACTGAAATGTTACTATCAATGGTGGGTCTCATGCAAAGAGACAGATCCGTGTAATATCAGATAACCATAAAAAAACAAGATTTTTTATAAATTCACTTTTCTCTCGTTTCATTTTTATTTTTTATTTTTTTTTTTAAAAAAAAAATCCAATTTTATTATTATTTATATTATGAGCCGAAACGCAAGATATCACACAATACATGGTGAAGAAGATGATGATTCATCTGAATTCAGCAATAATAATAATAATAATAATAATAATGCAAATATACCATTTAGAAGAAATAATTTAAATGAAGAAGAAGATAATAATTCAACAACTTTACAAACAACAACACCAACATCAACTCCCTTCTCTTCTTTTCCACCACCACCTCCATCCCCAATTCAAACAACTTTTACCCAACCTAAATGGATGAGAAATCCAGCCATAAAAAATTTTATCAATAAAATTCAACGATATTATAGTGCCAAATACTTAAGAAAGATGTTTAATAGACTTGGTCAATTATTTCTTATTATCATATTCCTGGGAATTTTTAGTATAATATTAAGATATATATCGAAACCTGATCCAGATGATTATTCTAATGTGGAATTCGATTGGAAAATTGATCCTGCTTCATATTTAACAATGGATGCAGATGTATTTGGAAATTATAATATTTTATTAAATGGACACGCTCATACCACTTATTCCGATGGTAGAATGACTCCGGAACAAGTTTTAAAATGGTCAATTGGTAATTAGTAACAATAACAATAGTAATGATGATAATAATAATAATAATAATAAATTTATAACTTGTGAAATAATTATATTTTTTATATACAATAGCTTATGGATTTAATGCTGTCATTGTAAGTGATCATAATACTTTAGAAGGTGGACTAGAAGCTCAAAGAATTGCTCGGGAGAAATATAATGATTCAATTATTGTGATTCCTGCAATAGAATATTCGTATGTTTATTTTTTTTTATTTTTTATCGGATTCTTTATTGATTACATCTTTAATAATTTGTTTTTTCATTAACAATACAATTTTTACTAAAAATATAAATATTCTTAAAATAGGTCATGTCGGATACACATGCAATTCATTGGTCTTATGGTTAATCCTTTTCCACCTTTTAATAAACCCGAACCAACAAATCAAGAACTTAAAGAAATGATTGATAAAGTTCATGAATTAGGTGGATTGGTTACGGTTAATCATATTCCCTGGAGTAATAGTACAGGTACATCATCATCATCATAATTATTATTATTATTATCGTCGTCGTGGTTTCTTATTATTATTGCTGTTATATTAATAATTTTTAATTTATAATTTTAATTTTTAATTTTTAATTTGTAATTTTTTTTTTTAATTTTGTAATTTTAATTTGAATAGAATGGAAAAATCATGTTGGTACTTTGCCTAATCATCCAACTCGAGAAGAACTTCATGAAATGGTAAGAGAATTAAATTTATACAAAATATTTATATACAAATATTTATATATACAAAATATTTATGTATTTTATATACCAAATTTCTTCATGCTATTTTATAAAAGGGAGTTGACGGATTTGAAATAATTAATGGAAATATATTTGATTATGAAACTTATAAATATGCTAGGGATAAAGTTTTATTAATGATTACAGGAACAGATGTACATCATCCATCATCAGTAGCACATTCATGGACAGTTTTAAATTCACAAAATATGACAGTTCAAGGAATAATGAAAGAATTACGTGAAAAAAGAACAACATTTTTCTTTGATGCAACTGGACCAAGACAAGTTTATTATCCTAATGAAAATCCAACATATTATAAATTATTACCATTATTTGCTATAACTGATATATGGAATTCATTTTATGATGATTATCGAGGAATGTATTCATTTCAAGGAACATTTTGTCATCAACGTAAAGTTGTGATACATTGGAGAAGTTATTGGTGGTTTGTATTATGGTGTTTAATATTTTTTGGATTTTATGAATTAGGAAGATGGGGAATTAATAAATTGTGGAGATATGGAATTATAAAATTTAATGAATTAAAAAATCGAAAAAGAGGAAATAGAAGAAGACGAAATAATTCAGTTTCTTCGGAAGAAGAAATTAATCGACAAAACGATTTAATAGATTTGGAAATTTAATATTTAATTAAATGTAATGTATATTTAATTTTATTTAATGTATAATATAATATAATAATATGTATACTTACTACTATTTTATGATGTAATCGATGTTAGTTTATGATATATTATTATAGCATAAATAATATATAAAATTGTTTATTATCTATTACTTCTTTTTTTATTAAAAAAAATAAGGTACACAAATGCTGTACGTGACAGTACGTACATAAATCTAATTGTTTTATTTGACAAGTTCTGTAACAAGTTGTTTCAAGTTATTTAAGTCTATATATCACTATCACATAATAAAATGTTAAATAAATATATATATATATATATATTTATTTATTAATCTAATTAGTCTAATTGAGTTGTATGCGTTTACGTTTATGCTATTATTATAATATTTTTTTTTTGTCAACAATTACAATTTAATTTAATTCTGATTTTAAAAAATTCATAAAAATTATAAAATTATCAGGTGAAAGGATGTCAAAAAAAATGTCTTTGATGTTGAGTAAAAATAGATTAAAAACAGAATAAAATAAAATAAAATAAAATAAAAATAAAAATAAAATAAAATAAAAAATAAAATAAAAAATAAAAAATAGAAGAATACTAATTTACAATGATAAACAAAAAAAAAAAAAGGTAATAAATTAATATATGTTTATTTTTTATTTATTTATTTAATATTTTATTTATTTATTTATCACTATTATCATTGCACTGTATTGTATGTATTATATATATTCATTATGAAACCATCTTCCATTTCCACCATATCTTTCCATTTGTCGAGCATTACTTCTAACACCTGAAGCAGTTCCTGAAGCACTATGTACCATGAATTCTTCTAATTCTTCTTCATTATTAGTCACCATTATTTTTTCATCATCATCATCATCACCACCATCTTGTTCATCATCTGATTCTTCACCTTTTAATATTTTTATTTCAGTTTTTAACTCTTTAACTTGATTAGTCATTTCATTCATTTGTAATTCAAATCCTTTTTGCATATTTAATACTAAATGATATAAATCATCAATAGTTAAATCTGGTGTCCCAATTTCATTTGAATCTAAACGACTATTATTTGTATCAAATCTCTCTTTATTATTATCACCACCACCATAATCAAGAGGAAAATATTCAGCAGGAAGTTGATGAGATATTGGCGAAGAAGGTGAAAATGTTGGAAGTCCAAATATTGATTGTTTAGAAAATTCTTTTGTCATGGGTGTTGTCGGAATTGGTATAGGATTTGAAATTATATAACGACGAGCATTATTATTATTATTATTATTATTATTATTATTATTATTATTATTATTACCATCTTTAGGATGTGATTTTTTAAATAATTTACGATTTGTTACCAGACGAGAAGTTATGGTTTTACCAATATTAAAATATTTCTTTCGTTGTTTTGAATTTGGAGATGACGATGATTGATGATGTAATGTTTGATGTTCTTGTTCTTGTTGTTGTTGTTGTTGACATTGTTGGTGAAATTGTTGATATTGTTCATATTGATATTGTTGTTGTTGTTGTTGAAGTTGTTGAAGTTGTTTATATTCAATTAGTTGTTTTTGTTGTTGTGGTTGTTGTGGTAGTTGTTGTGATTGCGGTGGTTGTGTTTGCTGTTGAATTTGAGTTGCGTAAGGTATTGATGGAAGTACTTTTGATTTTCGTTGTTGTGATTTAGCTATAACGTTTCTAATTTCTTCATCATTTTCATCGTAATCATCATCATCATCTTCGGTTGGTAAAGAAGGTGGTGGTGAAGGAGGTCGATCACTATTGGTTTGTTTTATATTTAGTTCAGCACTAGTAGAAGAAATAGTAATTGGTGGTGGTGTTGGTGATGATGATGATGATATTGTTAAAGGTTCGTTTTTAATATAAATTTTATCATCATCATCATCATCATCATCATCAACAATAATATCATCGTCATCATCATCATCATCGTTATTATCATCATAATCTTCTTCTTGAAGCATTATATCATCTTCATCATCTTGTTCAATATTATTATTATGATTTTGTTGTTGTAATGGTGGTAATGATGATGATGATGATGGTTGTTGCTGTTGTTGTTCATCGTTAACGAAAAAAGTATCCCTGTCAGTAGGTGTTCTATATTGATCATCATATGCAACGTGATATTGAAATGGAATATTTCTTGTTTCGGCCATTTTTTCTTTATTTTTTTTCCTTTTTTTAAAAAAATGGAACGAACCTGATTTTTTTAAGAGGAAAATTTTTAGAGACTTCAAAGTAAAGTTATTTTTTTTTTATATATACGATTTTAAAGTCTATAAAATCTTGTTTAAATCCTGTTTTAATCTTGTTTAAAATCCTTTGTTGATTTTTTATTGGTTTTATTTTTGTTGGTTTTTTTTTTTTTGCAGGATTCTTTTTTGCTATTTTATTGTTTTTATTGTATTGTTCTTTTTTTTTTTATGATGAAAACGATGAAAACGATAAAAACGATAAAATGAACATGAAAAAAAAATTGTTAATGATGGAAAATGATGTCAAAGATGTCAAAGATGTCAAAGATGTTAAAGGGTGATATGTAAGAAAGTTATTATAAAAGCATTTGGAAGGATAGAAAATTAATAAATAATAACATATAAACAATAATATAAACAGTAATATTTTAATGACAATAAATAAAACAAAAATATTAATTATTGAGAAAAAAAGAATTTTATATGTGAATATTGTATAAATGTGTTGTAAATGATGCTTTTGTTGAAGAGAAAATTTTTTGAGTTAAAAAAGAGTGATTTTTAAATAAGAATTTTGGATATTCTGGAAATCATGTTCTTTTATATCAAAACTATAATCAAATATTTTTTATAATACTTTTACTTAATTATACTTTTTTACTAATTTATACTTTTAAAATTTTCAAACATATTTAACAAAACTATTTAGACTACATAGACTAATTAAGATTACTATCGACTTTTTATGATAGGATGTGATATAAGTTATGATGTTTGATTGAATTTACGCAATAAAAAAAAAAAAATAATAATAATAAAAAAAAAAAAAAAAGAGATGCATTAAATTATGAAACTCTTGATCATTTGTCATAATTAAATGAAGTGATACGTTGTTGTTTGTTGTGTATCTATGCAATGTATTTTAAAGAGGTTTATTGTTGCAGTAAGGTAAATACAATGAATTTTAATTATTTATTTTATATGTAGTAATTTAATTTATTTGATCTATTTATTTATTTATTTATTTATTTATTTATTATTTATTATTTATTATTTTATTTTTATTTTATTTTTATTTTTTATTTTTATTTTTTTTTTCTATTATATTTTTATTGTCTTTATCATTTTTATTCCAAACTTACTTTTGTTATTCCATTTACCCACTTATTCACTTTATCCACTGTTCTTTCAGGCTGATTTGTCTATTTTGGTTATTTCCACTAATTTCTCTTGGTTAATTTTACTTTATTTACTTCAGTTTATCCACTTTTAGTTCAGATCAAGTTTATCCCGGTTTTTTTTTTTTTTAGTCTATTATTTACTCATTTTCATTCATTCACTTTATTTCATTCATTAATTTTTAATTTTTTAAGTTTTTAATTTATTCACTTTATCCATTCATTCATTCACTATTACTTTATTATTTTATTACTTTATTACTTTATTTTTCTTCTTTCTTATCCCATAGGATGAAACAACAATGCACAAGCCAAGAATTTGAATTTTTGGTTACATAAAGTAATAATAAAAAGGTAAAATCGGATATAATAAGGTAAAATCGGATATAATAAGATAAAATCAGATGTAATAAGGTAAAATAAGATATAATAAGATATAATGATATAATGAGTTAAAAGATATAATGAGTTAAAGATATAATGAGGTAAAATTTGATGCAAAGTAACAAAAACAGTCTTCACTTGGCGCTCTATTATAGTCTTTATAATTTTTACAATTAAATAATTTCTATTACTTACAACAATAATTTCTATAATTTCTAATAATTTTTTATATCGCTCCACTGTCGTCACATTTCCCGAAATAAATTTATAATATAAAATTTATTCAGTGTGCATTTATTCCTTAAAAAAAAATACTTCTAAAATAATGAATATTACACATGTAAATTGCAATAGAAGCTTTTTTATCCCAAAACAGGAATTCTAAGGAATAATAATAATAATAATAATAATACAATAGATCCTTATACTTTGTTTATATAATTATGAAACGGAAAATGTTCAAAGAAAAAAAATTTTTTTTAATGTGATAACTCATAATTGACATTTACATCTTTTCTTTATCCCTTTTCTTTTTTTTTTTTTTTTCTCCTTTTTCTTTTTTCTTTTTTTACTTTTTTATTAAAATATAATACCTGATAATAATAATAATTAAAAAAAATGATAATTTAAAGAAAAAAAAAAAAAAAGACCATATGATCATTTAATCGATAATTTATGTATGCGGGGGTGTGAGTATATTATTATGTACAGGCCCTGCAACAATTACATTTATAACCACCTAACTCACTTGTTTTAACTTATTTAATATAATTTAATTTAATATAATATAATTTACATTAATTTACTTAATCTATTGTTTAATTCGTATAAAGATAAATTAGACAATTTCGACACAACATTACAACACATACACATACAACAATAACAACTAAACGCATAAACCATAGTCAGTGTTTACTTGTGTTAACAAATTAAGTGAATTTTACTGTCATTCTTATTGGATTAACTGATTATAGAATATTATATAATTATTTTATTATTTAAATTATTTAAATTAATGGAATAATGGAATAATTATAAATTAATACTTTTAATAGCAACTATGACAACAGATAAAGAAGATAATGATTAAAGATTTGTAGAGTAATTCCGTAGAAAATCATTTATTATTTTCATTGAATTTTTTAATCGTCGAAAGATCATAGAAATCATTAATTAAACAATTAATTAATTAATTAATTAATTAAATCATTAATTAAACAATTAATTAACTAAATTCTTTAAATAGGTATTGTGGAAAGTGCGCATTTATCATAAAGGTGAGAAATTATGTACAATTTTGTGGGGAAATTTGACATATAGCACAATATATTTATACTACTGTATATACTGTACTGTGCATTGTAAATTTTATCCTGAAATTGTTATGATCTGTTAAAGAAAAAAAACATGCACGTAAAGGTTTTTTAAAAATCTCGCATTCTTTACTGCGCTTCTTACTGATTAATAGTCACATGAATTAATGTTACATGAAAATTTGTATTATAAATATATAACTATGATTGTTACCCAGATTTTTTTTTCCTGAATTAAAAATAGTTTTTCAAAGGTTATCATTAAATTAATCATTTAATTTTAGTTTAACTTTTAATTTAATTTACTTTTCTTTTCTATTAATTAATTTAAATTTTAAATATAATTTAAACTTTTAATTTTTTAAACTATTAATTTACACTTTTAATTTAATTTAATTGTAAATTTAATTTATGTGGAAAAAAAAGCCAATATATTATAGTCATTAATAATAATAATGAATTCAACTTTAACATTTTTTTCTTCTCCTGCAGCTTCCGAAGAAGAAATAATGAGTAACATAAAGATTCAGTGTATTGCTATTATCGGAAAAATGGTAAAGTTTTAAATTCTAAAATTCATTTGTAAAAAGAATCATTATTTCTAATTTATCAAAATTTACCAAATAAAAAAATTCTAGAATAATCCGTTATATATTAAAAATTTTACTGATACACATCCAGATTTAAAATATCATTATATTGCTCATACTTCAATTGATGTTATTGAAGAGAGAAGTAAAAAAAAAAATTTTTTTTATCATTATATTTGTTATTCATTATATTTATAAATCAATTAATTAATTAATAATAATGAAAATATTTAAATGAATAAATTAAATGAATAAATTAAATGAATAAATAAATAATTTAATTAATTTAGTCAGTGCAGGTCCTGAATCAGCAGATACATATCTTGGATTATTATATGCAATGGAAGATCTAGCTGTGTATGTTATTATTATTTATTTATTTATTTTATTATGTTATATAAAATTATTATTTATTAATTATTTATTAAATTATTTATTTATTAAAATTAGGTATGGTTACTTGACTAATACTAGAGTAAAATTTGTTGTGGTTCTTTCAGTTCTTGATGCTGTAATTAAAAATACTGATATGAAAAATGTAAGTTTATACTATTATCATTATAAGAAAGAAATAATAATGTGTAAAAATAAATATAATAACCAACAAATATAATAATAATATATTCCTTTAGATATTTCGAAAGATTCATACCGCATATATTAATCAAGTTTGTAATCCATTTTATAATTTGGATGGTAAAAAATCAATTGTTAGCAAAAAATTCATTGCAGCTATTGATAGTATTGGTAAATCAAACAGTGGAGATATTTCTAATATTTAAAATATAATAATAATAATAATAATATTACTATTATTATCAAGAGAGACTATTTTACATTATTATTATTTTTATTTTCATTTTTATTTTTATTAAAAAAATAAAATAATCCTCCAATAATACTAAAAACTCCAGAAATTAATGTATAATTGAAAATCCTTTGGAAAACTGTTGTAAAAAAAATATAATTTATATATTTACATGAGAGAAAAATAAAAAATAAAAATAAAAATAAAAAGAGATATATTTATTTATTTATTATGTAAATGAAAATCATACCTTCATTTCTTCTTTGTAATTTAAAATCATTTTCAAGTTTATTTACAGCTTTTGCAATCATTTCATCAATTTCTCCAATGAATACTAATGTTTCTTTCTCTGTACCTTTATCCCAATCAATTTCATTTATAAAATATGCTCCAATAACTGCTACATTCACATTAAGAAATTTTTCCATAGCTTTAAATTTATATTTTTCTGTTTGTTCTTTAACGAAATTTCTTCTCATATTTCTGCCTTTACGTGTACTTCTACTTTGTTTAGGATTTAAATATTTTACTTCAACCACTAATAATATTCCATAATCTGATGCAAAAATTAAATCACCTTGACCATATTGTGATTGTTTATCTATTACTTGCCAATCATTTTGAAATAAATATTTAAACCCTGGAATATATTTATTGGTATTGGTAATAAGTTGCCGTTTTAATTTTCGTTCCATTATATCTGTAGTAAATAATAATGATGATGTATTGAATTTTTGCCATTGAGATTTATGAAGTTTTTGAAGATATTCGGTAAATGGATAATACCATTTACGAGAAATTAAAAGAAGATTTTCTATTAATGGTTGATCGATTTCTTGGCAATACATTAATTTATTTTCATTTAATTTTTCACTATTTTCTTCTTTATTATTACTACCAATATCTTCAATATCTTTATTATTACTACTAATAATATTTTTTTCTTTATTGTCATCATTGTATATATATTCAAAATTAGATACTTTTTCAAGATTAGATATTTTTTCAAGATTAAAAATATTTTGAAATTCTTTGTTAATATTTTCTTCAATACTAATATTTTTATCAAGAGTTCTGTGAATCATCTTTACTTGTTCTATCTGTTTCATAATTTGGTTATTAAAAATAAAATTTAAATTCCTTTCTCCTAGTAAAATATCTTTAAATATAGATTTACAAATTTGTAAAAATAAATTTGATTCATCCTTGTTATAATTAATATTATTAATTGAACTTTGTTGAAATCCTTCTTCAAGTTCTTCAATTGTACAAGGAAATTTGAATTCTGGTGATTTTAATGAAATATTTCTTATATAATGTTTATTAAAATATTGTTGTCTTTTGATACTTTTAGTAATATTCCAAATCATTATTCACATAATAATCTCTCTAAAAAAGGAAAAAAAATAAAAATAAAATCTAGATGATCACCTGTTGTATAATTTTATATTTTTCTCAAATTTCCGAATTACGACATACATACAACATACATACAACGTACATACGATATTTATTTTTCTATTGACAACCCGGCAACCTATCCTATGAACTAATTAAATTATTCCTACTCTCTTTCCCACGCAAATAATCTCTTTCTCAAAGATGACATTTTATTCTATAATAATAAGTTATCCAAGTTATTTGGATTTGATCGAATTTGTATTGATAGTATTAATAATTTATGTAGCCAAATTTTATTTAGATTATTTCACGAGACCAAATAAATTCCCTGGACCTATTCCATTACCTGTTCTTGGTACTCTTTTATGGTATAATGGAAATCCTGCTGAATGGGTTACAAAAGCTCAAGAAAAATATGGTGATATATTTGAATTATATATGGGCAAGGAAAGAATCATTTGGTTATCCAATAGTGATCTTATCACAAAAATTGTTAGTCCTTCAACTAATAATAATTTCTTGATAAGAATTACACCTAATCAAGGTCTTGATGAAATTGGTTTAACAACCAAAGGAATTACTTTTAATCGTAATCTAGAATCATGGAAATATAATCGAAAATTTTTTAATCAAGCTATTAAGTCACCAAAATTTTTAAAACAAACCGTAGAAAAAATTCAAGAAATATTTTCTGAAATGGAAATATGTTGGTCAAAACTTTCAAAATTTGATCAAGATATTCAAGATTCAAAGAATTCAAATATAAAAATTTCAGATATAAACATATCAGAATGGATTCCACAATTCATCATGGATCTTATGTTTTTAGTTATTACTAATAAAAGAGCTTACACTTTTGAAAATTATTATTATAACATAATGCTAGAAAATAAAAAAGAAAAAGAGAAAGATGAAGAAGAAGAAAAAGAAGAATATTCAGAACATTTTAAAGCAACAATAAAGAAAATAGAGAAAGTAGAAAATTTTGCTAAAATTATTCATGAATGGTCATATGCTCTACAATTTTTTATGAATACTCCAAAGTTATGGCGAGATTATATACCAAGTTATAAAAGGAAAGCTAATAACTTTAAAAAAAGTATTGATAAAGCTAATGAAGTTTATCTTAAACTTATAAGGGATCGTAAACAAGAAATAGATAGAATTCCTATAGATGAACAATTAAATTCTGATGCATTAACAATGTTGTTGACAGTAAATACTCCACGTGATATTACTACACGAATCTCGGATAATAATCATACAAGACCAATGAGCGAAGAAGAAATTTTAGGAAATGTATTTGAAATAATTAGTGGTGGAGTTGATTCTGTATGTAATTAATTAACAAATGTACATTTATTATTTATTTATTATTTGTTATTTGTTATTTGTTATTTGTTATTTCTATTAATTATTTGTTATTTCTATTATTTGTTGTTATATAGACATCAAGTGCTTTTTGCTTTATAATATATCATATAGAGCATAATCCCAAGGTTAAAGAACGTATGTTAAAAGAAATTGATTTTGTTTTTGGAAAAGATTGTAATCGAAAAATTGCATTTGATGATTTAAATAAATTAATTTATTGCGAAGCAATTATTAAAGAAGGTATTTTTTTTTAATTTGATTTAATTTTCTACAAATAATAATAATAATAATAATAATAATAATAATAATACTAAATACTAATAATAATCATCTTTTAGTACTTCGCATGATGTCAGTTGTACCAATAATATTTAGAATGTCACATAGAGATGATAAAATTTCTGGCCATCAATTCAGTGGTCAAACACAATTTATGCTTAATACTTATGGTATACATCATAATAAGGAGCATTGGATAAATCCTGAAGTATTCAATCCTTCTCGTTTCTTGAAGGAGGAGGAAGCGAGTGACAATGAGAATGACAATGAGAATGAGAATGGCAATGACAATGAGAATAGCAATGAGAATGGCAAAAATAACCAAAAATCAGGAATTCATAAAAATTCATTTATAGCTTTTGGTGGAGGATCCCGAATGTGTGCGTATTTGAAATTATTAATTTCTTTTCTTTAAATATCTTAAAATTATTAATTTCTTAATTATCTTTGTTAGGTCCTGGGAAACAATTAGCTATGACTATAATTAAAACTTTAATGGTTTTACTTTATAGAAAATATGATGTTAGATTATCAGATATGAATGCACCTATTAAATATCATTTTTCCATATTGAGACATTGTGATGACCTCAATGTAATATTGAAACCAATATTCCAAGATTTATAATCGATCATTCTTTTTAAAAGAAATTATTTGTTTTTAATACAATTGCTTAAAATATTATCCAGTTAATTACTTAAAAATTATTATGTTTATTCAATAAATATAATTAAATACTCAGAGTAATAAATGATATTTCTTTCTAAAGAATTGGAATGTTGATAAATGTATTCTTGAAATTGTATTTTCTCTAAAGATAAGAAATAAGAAATAATTATATACAAAAGAAAATAAAAATGTGTTTATAAAACAAATAAATAATAATACTCGAGAAATTTGAGAAATTCACTTGTCCTTTTGAAATAAAAGGTACGGCGAACCATCTCTCCACTACTTACTTAAAAATTACAACTTCTTGTCTCATAACCACTAAAAACCTTCCAACACCTTCCCCAAAACTTATACTTTTCAATCCTAATATTTCAGCTTGTCGATGTAATCGCTTTCTTTGATATCCTGTCAATTCTCGAGGAAATTTAAGTACTTTTTTATCACTTCCACAAAATCTTTTCAAGATTTTAATCATATATCCAGTTAAATCTTCATTTTTAAATCCTTCATATGTTTCTCCATTACTAAAATATTCGGGAGTAACAAATGATGTAAGAATTTTTCGATTAAATTCTTCCTCTTCTTTCCCTGTGTTGAGACGTCTTTGGAGAGGTTGATTACGAAGTTCGTGAGAATATTTCCAACTTTCTTTTGAACTATTGGATTTATTGTTGTTGTTAACATTTAAAGAAGACGACGATGATGATGAAGATCTAATGGATTTTAATTCTGTTCGTTTTGTTTTGGGTTTTGTACATACAGATGAAGATGATGAACTGTTACCATAATGATTATTACTTGAAAAAGGTTTGGATCTTAATTGAGATTGTAGACCATATTTATTTTCTTTAGATCGTGATGATGAAGTAATAGTATTATTTTCTTTAGATCGTGATGATGAATTAATAGTATTATTTTCTTTCGACTCTTTCGACTCTTTTGTCTCTTTGAGTGGTGATGATGAAAGTGTTTTATCACCTAATGCATTTAGTGACTTTTCTTGACGTCTCTTTTTCCATTCTCTATTTTCAGTGTGACTACAATAAATGTAACATACTTTTTTGTGTAAATATGTGTTTTAAAATTCAAAGAATAAAAAATAATAAAAAATAAAACAAACCTGAAAGGAAACATCTTTCCAGAAATTGCCCAAACCTTAGCAAGTTCTCTAAAAAAAATGAAATTTCTAATTAATTATAACAAAATAATATAATTAAAAAAATGTAAATAACTTACCTTTTCATAATTTTCTTTTCATTTTCAACATCCTTTTCCCATTTTGCAAAAACTTTAGTTTTCGCTTTACCAATTCTACCAACTTCTCTTCTAAAAATTTCTTGATTTGTTGTAAACTCTTTATGTTCATCATATCCAACCCATTCAAGTACATTATCAGTCCATTTTTCGGGTCCAGCAATGCTTAAAATAACTTTATCGATATATTTATGCATTTTAAAAATAATTTCCTTCAAATCTTTTTTAATATCAAATTTTTCAATATTTTTTCCTTTATCATTCCTAAATTTATTATTATCGCCATCAACATCAACGATATTATCATAATTTTTATCAATTAATTCAGATTTATTTTTATTTTTTTCTTTATTAAATTTCTCTTTCCAAACAATTTCTTTGCAAAATTCAAAAAGCTTATTCAAAGGTGGTTTGTCAACTAATTTCAACAATAATGAATCTATTGATAACTCTTTCAATGCAACACACGTTAAATTCAAGCTGCTTAACGCAGAAATATCATCAATATGTGAAATTATATGAGTCCAAATTTCTACTGGAAAAATACTTAATGCGGGTTTGGGTGAGGGTTTAAGTAAAGAAATAATAACACTAGAATCTGACAAGTCTAGTTTATTAACATCAATTTGTTCAAAATTAATTTTATCGAAATCGATGTTATCGAAATCGATCTCCTGGGAAATACTGTCGGAAGGTGTTGAAGGAGACGACGACATTATAAGGTAAGAAATTTTGTCGCAGCGTCTATGATAATGAATGATAATGTAGTTCAATTTATAATAGTTATCAACCAATAAAAATGGTTGAATTTAGATAGTTTATAATATTGATAAATTAAAAAATTTTATTTCAAATAAATTTCTCGAGAATAGAGAAATGCATTGAATTTTTTCGTTATAGAATTAATTTAATTTAGTTTTAATTTCTTTTTCTTATTATTATTTTTGGACTCCAGTAATGTAGTTGGAGATTTATTTTTCTTATCATTTTCTTGAGAATTACTAATATCATTATAATCAATCTTATTTTTGTTTCGTTTTTTACTAGATTTCTTTGCTTTATTATTTTTGTCGATATTTGTTTTTTCACTCGATTTCCGAATAAAACACGCGACAAAAAATCCATTCGTATATTCTTGCGGACTCGAACGAATTAATCTTTTTGCTGCTTCTATTTTCATAAAATGTAAAAATAGATTAAATTCATAAATTAGATTTTTATCAGGAGAATTAATAAATATTTTGAAAGTACCTTCGTCATTTCCAATTTCACTAGCAATTCCACGCTTTGGCCATTCTGGCATTATATCCTTTTCATCGGTCAAAATAAAATTGTCTGTTTGTTCTAATGCATGTTTAACCACATGTTCATTCTCCTGTGCATGAATTGAACACGTTGAATATACGATTTTTTTAACCGAGGGAACTAAAAATAGATAAATAAATAAATAAATTATGCGAAATAAATTGTTGATAGAAAACAACATCACAACTTCAATATTAATGATCACATTTAAATGCATGCAAGATAGTCTTCTTTTGAAATTCGCTGAGATTTTCAAGACGTTCTTTTAATGAGTTTTCTGATGTTTCTTGATCATTTTCTATTGAAAAATTATGACTTAATTAATTTAATTCATGCACTTCCAAAGAAAAAAAAGGGGAGCAAAAACTTTATAATAATAATAATTGTGATAATTACCGGACGAATTATCAAGCAGATGATCCAATCGATTCAAAATACCAGATCCAGAACACGAAGGATCAATCAATATATATTCAACCCTAGAATATTTTTGGTCTAAAGGATTTGCTTCCAAGAATGACTCATGGATAGCTTCTATATCTATTTAAATACATTTCAAATCTTACTGTCAAAGGGAATATTTTATTTATAATATAATATCAGTATTTTTGAGTAAATATTATAGAATACTTTTGCATCCAGCCTTTTTGGTTAATGTTTTCAATAATTTTAATCTATTTTTATCTAAATCAAAAGCCCATATTTTCCCGGTATTTTGCATTATGGCCGAAAGATGTGAAGTCTTGTTTCCAGGAGCAGCACACGCATCAATCACATGGGAATTCAGTGGAGGAGAGCAAATAAAAGAAGGAAAACACGAAGCTTTATCCTAATTAAATTTTCAAAAATATTTTCAATTAAACTTAAAAAATAATAATCAAAGAAGGAAACAAATTACAAAATACGCGTTATATCTTTACCTGAAGAATTATTTCTCCAGATAAATAAAGTGGATGATTATGGAGATCAATATTGGGAGGTAAAATTAAAAGGTCAAATAGATGCTTATCTTTCAGAATAGTTTTGGGACTTGATTTTTAAAAATAAAAAGTGTTATCATAAATTTAAATGTGTTTTAAGAAAAATAAATAAATAGATATACAGTTACAGTACTTTGAAATACCTTATATTACTCAAATCATCATTATTTTCTTCAAATTTATATCCTTTCTCTTTAAAATTCTCTATAACTTTTTCAACTGAGGTCTTAAGTGTATTGACTCTAACATATCTTGGAATTATTACTTTTACAATTATAAAGATATAAAAAAAAGATATTAATAAAGATATTGATATATTGGATTAAACATAATCATAAAATTATAAGTACAAATATAATTTCAAAATTTATACATACTTGAATTTAAAAATTTTGGATTTATTAAATCTTTATTATCCTTTATTTTTAATTTAATTTTTAATCTAGCAAGTTCAGATCTTAAATTTATTTCATATTTTAATATAGATAACTTGTATGGTCCATCTGATAATGATTTTATACCATTTGGAGAAAATAAAAGATCGTGAACCAATAATATGGCAATATTTCTTGGAAGCTGAAATATTATTTTGAGTAAAAAAAATGCAATTCCAAATTAAATTAATAGTAAAAGAAAGGAAAAATTAATTACCTTTTTTTCCTTTAAAAGTAATTGAGAATTGTCTATTATTTGGTTGATTACATCCTTGTCTTTAAAGATCATGTTTAATATTCATAAAGTACACACATATATTTATTTATTTATTTATTTTTATTCTATGTAAATACATAATTTAGAAATAAATAAAAAAAAAAAACACAGAATAAATGAAAATAAATACATTTTAATGTTTCACATATCAATGCATACATTTTTTTCTTTTCTTTAACATTATCAGCTAAAGTTAAACTTTTTATGGTACCTCTGTGGTTTTGTAATTTTTCTAAAATTTCTGAAGCTTGTTTATAGAAATTCATGTTTGAGAAGTTTATTAAAAAAAATTTGATCTATTTATAAATTGATTAAAAATCGGTGTAACATTAACAGGTATTTTATATAAATCACATGACAACTTTATGGCGATGCAAGAGGATTCGTGTTATAACAAGAAGAATTTTACAGATTAACGGAAAGATCGATATTTAATTTAAAATCCAAAGATTGCAAATCGTAAGATTGTAAAGGAGGCTTGAGATTTATAATAAATAGGGGCTTGGAATTCGATCAAAAATTTACCCAAAACGCGAAAATATTTTGAATTAGCAAGATTCGTGATCGATGAAAGAAATTAAGCCACACATTTTTAATTCTGAACTAGGACCTTTTATTTATAAGTCTTGGAATTTTCTGACTTATAAACCATTCAATCCTTTTGCAAAACATATAAAAAAATCGAACTAATGAATTTACAAGTTCAATTAATTCATTAAAAATTATTAATAATTCAACCGTGTTTTGAAGTTTCATAGAGGTGAATGTAAACCTTTTTTTAGTAAATACAACAGAAATTTAATTATCAAAGATAATGATATCATGTAACATTGTACTTTTCAAAATAAAATAAAAAAAATAAAAGAACCACTTCTTGCCGTTCTTATAAATAAATATATATATTCTTGTTCTTTATATGCTAAATATAAACGAATACATGGCTTCATAATAGGTACGCGCCCGAATAATCATGAAAAATGTCCAAGGAAGAACGTGTCTACTTTACGCTTTGTACATACTTCTATGCTCCTTGACATTTCCAATACCAATAAGCAAATCTCTTAGAATATTTAATATTATTGAACCAGAATCACTTGGACCTCTTTATCCTATAAATTCGGTTACATATCCAGACAGAACTATAGTCATTCGATTGTCAAATAGATTATCATGTCCAGAAAAACCGACAATTTTTGCGCTTCGTTTTGTGTATCCAAATGGTACTTTGATTGCAAAGAATTTTGAAAATATATTTTCAACAATTAATTTCTGCCCTACAAATCGAATAGGTATATTTATCTTACCAGGTAATTATTGGAGATATTTATTATTTATTTTATTAAGATATTAATTATTATTATTTTTTTTTTTCAAATTGATTTAGATAATTATCTTTTAATAAGATATTGGAGAGTTCTAGATGATTCGACAACTATTATTCAATATGCGGGACTTATTATTTCTATTGATGGAATTGTAATTGAGTCGTAAGTATAAATCGTTCATAATTTGAATAATACTAAAGATTACATCCAAATTAATTATAAATTTATTGCATAATCAGCCAGCTTCTATTAAGTGATGCACTTAATATTGTGAATACGACATACTTTTTAAATCATGTTTCTACTTTGAGCATTGGACAGAAAGGAATTCTTTACGCTTCAGTGTATGATCAGTTAACAATTAATTGGACAAGATATATTTGGGATTCTGATAAGTAATATGAAATGAATTAATCTTTAAAGAGTAATATATATATATATATATATATCTTTTTTCTTATTATTTTTATTTATTTATAGGAAGAACTTGACTCAATTATATAGTGGTATTTTAAAATCGCCATCTAATTTTCAGTTAGATGATTTCAAGCTTTTCACTACAATTGAGGGAGGATTTGGTTTAGTTTATTCTGTTAGTCTAATTACCATCGATAATAATACTTTACCAAATCCGACCACTGCCATTCTTTATATGACCTCTTTACATTTAAGTCAAGATAATTTTTCCACACCTTCAATAATATATCAAATAACTGATCCTCAAGCAAAGATTAACATTAAATCTTGTCGACCGAATTATTTAAGTGTTGGTTATGCTTGTTTCATTAGTGTTAATGCTCCAGCAAATAACATAGCTGGAATATCTGAATTGAATTTTTGGAGATTAATTTCATTTTTTTCTACTGGAACAATTATTTCTACTGTAGATTTAGTGAATAATTTGGTTAATAGTTCAAACACCATTATTATTAATTATACTTCTGCATCTTCTTTATATTATGGAGGTTACTTGATGTCAGGAAGAAATACTTTAAAATTAATACAAGGCTCAATATATGACAACAATGAAAATTTTATTCAAGATTGGGGAATACCTTCTTCGGCAAACGTGACAAATTTTAATATGTTAAATAATAATACAATATGGGCAGTTTCTCCTTCAGAAGATTATTTGGGTGGATCTTGGAATTTATATTTTAATGACTTACCATCTTTTTATGATAGTAAATTTATTTTATTTTTTATTTATTTATTTATTTAATGAATTTTATTATGGTCAAATTTATTTGATTTGATTTTTCTAGGCGTTTACTTGAATTCCGTAATCAACACAACTTTACCATCTATCAATAGTACAATACCTTTGGCTATAACATCTATTAATATCAATTATAATCTTAATGTTACTGCTTCGTTACAAAATATATCTATATATCAACGTACTAATACTAATTCAGGGGTAATAGATAATCTTCGACAAACATTGTTCGCTTCTTCACCAAATGTTCATTTCGTTAATGGATTTGAAGTATTAATAGATGTTTTATCATGTGCTTTTAACCAACAAGGAGAAGAATATTTTGTGACAATTGATGATAATTTTGCAATATTGAGTAATTCCAATGAACCAATATTTGGTATAAAAAATGGAACTTGGATATTTAAAACAGTATCCGGATTCAATAATTCTTTTACAGGTAAAATTATATATTCAGATAATAATAATAATAATAATAATGATAATAAAATAATAAGATGTTTGTTTATGTAAATTTTTTTACAAAATCTTTAAAATATAGACGATATAAATGTTATTGTTCGTCTTTCCACTGATGCTTCAGGATATTTCAGAAACCTTAATGACACTGAAAGATCTTACTTTTTGGATGAAATGAGAACTGCTTTTTCAAATGTGATTCCGATAGATTCATCTAGATTGTTTATAACAAAACGTTATCAATTTGATGGATTAAACGATCGTAATAAAATATTGTTAGAGATAAAAATTTATTCAACTAGTGATCTTACTGAAAGGAATAGCGAACAGTTATATCAAGATATAAATACTTTAATAACCAATAAGAGCATAACTAGTTTAATGTATTATAACAGTACGGCGTCTTTAGATTCTGAATATGGCGCTAAAATATTAGGTATGATAGAAAAATTTATTTTGATAATTTTATATAATAATTTTATATAGAATTCATTTTTTTTCTAAAAATTATTCAAATTTAGAAAATCTATGGAAAAAATACAAATATCAAATTGCGGGAATAATTTGTGTCATCATTCTATTATTACTTGTGTTGGCGTTTTTGACGAACAAAAGATATCCAAATGTAATATTATTAAATATTAAATACTTTCTTGTCATTGTCTTTTTTTTTTCTAATCCTTTTTCATTTATTATAATAGGGAAATAGCGTGTCATTATTTAAATTCTTTTTAGTAATGGCAGATTTTGGTCTGGATATAAATTTCATTGTTGCATATGGTCACGATATTCCAAGATTGTTCCTTCCATAGTAGGTTTTTTTTTTCGAATTACGCGTTTCTTTTATATTTTTATCTTAATCTTGTCTTATTTCTCTTGTTGATAACTAATCTCTTCATAATTTTTGCCTAAATTAATCGATTAATTAAATTAATTAAATTAATTATAGCCTTATTATTACTTCAATTCCAATAGTCATAAATTTTTTTATTACAATGTTTGTTTTCTTTCGTGAATATTACGGAAATGCATTATTTCACCAGTGGACAAAGAAAAACATTTTTATCACGTCTTTATTTGTAGTATTAGGATATATAGATATGGTATCTTTAGAATTTCTATGTTCTAATGTTGGAATCTTTCAAGCACCTTTCACATTAACAACTGAACGATGGATATATTTTGGAACTTTTATAAGTATTATTCTTGAAGATATACCTCAATTGGTGACGTTGGTAAGACTTATTATTACTACTAATACTAATACTACTATTATTTTGTATATTTCTGGTAAGTTTAAATCAAGATAAGTTTCATCATCTAACGTATTAAGTTCAATTTTTCTTCTCTTTTTTTTTTCCTTCATTTTTTTTAAGGAAATTTATATAACCGATATCGTTGTACTCGGATTTAATCCATTATTGACTATATTTATGTGTTCGCTTATTATCTCTACGAATATAATTGTTCGCACGTATAATTGCACTGTTTTATTACGACGATTATATTTCAAATCATACAATGAGAATAATAATGAAGGTAATATTATATTTATTATTTCGTTTATTTAATTGGAATATGAAGGAAACTTTATTTATTTACAAAATTGATGGAAAAATAGATCAAACTGTTGAAAGGAGAAAACGACATCCACATTTTCTTAGTGGATTTATACCAGTTCAACCTCCTGCAGTAAGGAATAAGTTTAGAGAAAGTGATAGCATTATCAGTACTGGTAATGGAGGAGGTAACATTCGAAGACAATCATTTTTAGCTCCACCATTATCAATTAATTCTAGTAATCCTGGTAATCCCGGTGAAGATGTAATAATAGTTCCAGGATCTCCGGGGATTGGAGTCGGAAGTGCGAAATTTAAATGATTTATATGATTTATAAATAATTTCAATACATATAATAGATTTAATCACGTTATTTTCATTAATTATATTAATTATATTAATTATCATATTTTACTGACAATTATTATTGTAATAATGTATTTATAATATTAATAACAATTATATAAAGTTTTTAAAAAAATAAAAATTAAATAAAAAATCTTTATTCGATAAAAAAAAAAAATTGTGATTATCGAATCTAAAGTTTGGGATATTTTGATCTTTACAAAAAAAAATCATGTATAAATATTATAAATAATTTATTAATTTTTTTATTCCTCCATCTGATTTTCATAATTCTCATTAATAGGATTCAAAAGATCCATTGCATGCAATGTATAATCAATTATGTATGAATCAGTTAACATTCGATCCAAACGTTGATAATGTCTTTCTGCATATGGTAACATTCCATCTAACAACTAAAAAGAAATATAATTATATAATTATTCAATAAAAAAAGAAAAGACAATAAAGATATAACAATTAATAAATTATTTTACCTCTTTTATATCAGATATTTCTAATAAATCTTGAGAAGAGTAATTTTTCAAAATGACATTTAATACAGTTTGAGCTGTTCTTGAATGTTTTGCATTAGTATTCCAATCTCTTATATATTTTAATATTTGTTCAAGATTTTCCTTGGAAAGAGAGGTAATTGTATCATCTATATTTTTTGATCCTGTTATGCTTGTATCACCTAATAAAACAATAAATTAATAAATTAATTAATTATTATAAATTAAGATTATATTTGATAACACACAAATTAATATCCATAAATTTAATATATTTACCTTCTGGTCTATTTTCTAGAATTTCTGTAAATAATTTTAACAATCTAAAAGGTTGATTTAAAGAAATGGCAAAAATAATAGCATTTTTATAATCTTTTTTTTTCAAGTAATTTGACAAATCTTGTTCTCTAAAATGTAATATAATATAGATATCAATAAATAAATAAAATAAATTAAACAATTATATTTATTTATTTATTATAAAACAAAAACAATTATATAAAGTTATAATTATAAATACTTTAAAATTAAATCTTCCTCTTCTTTAGCGCGATGTTCCATTTCTTCTATAGTGAAATCTTCCCATAAGTTTATTAAAGAATCGGCACCACCGGAAGCAACAAATTTTTCATCTTTTCGTACATTCAAAGCCCAAATTTTTTCAGTATGATTATCTAAAGTAGTAACACATTCATTTGATTTGATAGACCAAAGTTTGAGAAGGCCATCTGAAGCACAAGAAATTAATTGTAATCCAGAAGTTATAAATGAAACTTTCAAAACAGAATTAGTGTGACCTTCAAATGTCTATTATAAAATAATTAATATTTTAATATTTTAATATTTTAAATTAAATAATAATAATAATAAAATTAATATATTTTTTGAATTTTAATTATTATTATTATTATTAACTTTTACCTTTAAACATGAAAAATCAGTAGATGACCATAATTTAATGGTTTTATCACCAGAACTAGAAACCAAAGTATGATCAATTGGAGAGAATTGTACAAACCAAACACCACGTTTATGACCTGTACAAGTTCCCAATAATGAACCATTTTCTATTGACCAAATTTTTATAGTTTTATCTTGTGATCCGGTAGCGAATATTTTTTCATTTGAAGAGATTGCTATTGAATTTATATCTTTATCATGAGCATGATAAGTGTATAAAGCTTTTGGTCTAAAATTTTCATTTGAATTAACAAGATCTATATAATAAAAATATATAATATAAAAATTAATAATAATAATAATAATAATAATAATAATAATAATAATAATGATGATGATGATGATGATGATTACCTAATTGTTTCAAGTTCCAAAATTTAACAGTTCGATCTTGACTTCCAGTGATACAAAATTTACCTTTCTTTGAAATAGCAATAGTACCAATAGCTTCATTATGACCAATACATATTCCAATACATTTAATTATTTCTTGAGAATTTAAATCAATTCCCCAAATTCTAGCAGTATTATCTTTTGAACCAGATATTAATATTTTATTATCATTAGATTTAGCTAAACAAATGATAATATCCGTGTGACCATAAATAATATTCCAATTAAAAGAATTAATATCATATAATCTTATTTGCTCAGTATTAGTGGCTATAGCTAAATGTGATTCATTAGGTCCAATATAAACAAGATCAATAATTTCATCATTATATCCCACAATTTGTTTTATACGTAAAAGACCAGTCGAAATTTGATAAAATAGTATATTTAAATCATTTGTTATTGCTGTTAAAATATTACTTTTTTTAAGATATCTAGAAAACAATGAAATATATTATTATTGTTATTATTTTAATGATATATAATATAATATAAATATAATATAAATTTAAATGATGTACATACATGATATCTAATATAATGTGCTTGTTAATCTTTTCGGGTTCTTGAGCTTTAACAAGTTTACCACTTTGTAAATCCCATATTCTAATAATTCCTAGAAAGAAATAAAAGAAATATAAATAATTGAAAATTAAATCATAAAAAATTCAAATAAATAGAAACCAACCTTTATCCCCACCAGTATAAAACATTTCTTTCACAAAAGTGTCTTCATTCTCATTGATTATAGTATAAGGTTGTAATATTCCTAATGTTTCAATTGTCTAAAATAAAAATTAATAAAATAAAAATAAAAATAAAATAAAGTAAAATAAAATAAAATAAAATAAAATAAAACCAATTAATCATCAATATTAGAAATATTAGGAATATTAGGAATATAAAGGAATAAATTTATTAAATACCTCATAAATTGGAAAAGTATTGATTAAAGTCTTTTTATTTAAATCCCAAATATTCACCACTTTATCCCTTGAACCACTTATTATATATTTTCCATCATGTGTCACATCTAATCCACGTATAATACTAACATGACTCTTTAATACACCAATACACCTATCAATAAAGAAATAATTTTGTTGATTCTTTTAACTCAATAATAATAATAAAATTTTAATTCAATAATTTTAATCACTCACTTCCTACTATGTAAATCCCACATACGAATATTACAATCATCCGATCCCGAAATTAATGTCCAATGATTATCTTTTGAATAAAATTTTAAACAACTAATTATTCCTCCGTGACCTCTAAAATTATGAGTACAAAAACCTCCTTCAATATCCCAAACTTTTATTGTACTATCAGCTGATCCCGTTGCTACTAATGTTGAAGTATCATCAACTTCCATTACTATTATAGGTGCTTCGTGTGCTTTAAATGATTTAATTATTTGTCCTGTTTTTATATCCCATATTTTAATTATTAAACTTCTACTCGCACTCACAAGTTTAGTGCCATCCGGTGTTATAACAAATGTTGTAATTATTTCTCCATCCTATAATTAAAAAAAATATATAATTAAAAAAAAATATAATTAAAAAAAAAATATAATTAAAAAAAAAATATAATTAAAAAAAAAATATAATTAATTGAAATATAGATTATATAAATAATTAAAATATAATAATATATAAATAATAATTAACATACTCCACTTAATCGAAATACTCTTTTTCCATTATGAATATCTGTAATATCGATATCTTCTCCGATAGTTGATATCAAAAAATTTTCATCTGGTGTAATATCTACTTTTCCACCTGTATATAAAGGTCCTATTGTTTGAGTGGGTTTAAAACTAAATAAAGATTGTTAAAAAAAAAAAAATTATTTGTAGTTTAATGTAAATATCATAATATTATGTGGTTATTATTATGTTTACCTGCTTTTAAGTTGTACTTTTCCACTTGTAGCTGTCGTCGGTTCAGGCATCATTATAATAAAAAATAAATAAACTAGATGATCAGGAAATCAATTTGGTAAATCATTACTGCAATTTTATCAATTTTATCCATTGAGGCACAGTAATCCAACATTTTAATAGCGCTGTTTTCAATATTCTAAACCCTAACATATGCTATTTACTCACTCGTCAAAGATAGTAAACCATCTCTAAGCGCGGATGTTTCATATGATTAAAAAACCCTCGAGATCATTTAGAATTTAGAATTTAGAATTATTAACTTTTAAGATTATTTTATTCTTTCGTGTACACTATTTTCACAAGATAATAATTATAATAATTATTAAAGATACACGCGTACTAATAATGCATATCGAGCTTTATTTAGAAATAAAAATTTATATCAAATACATCAAATACATCAAATACATATGTATCAAATCAAAAATCCCAAAGAAAATAAAAAAGAAATTATAAGGGAAAGTAACTTTGTCAGAGTAAATGAAATAATAAATTGTCAGACTTGTTGAAAAATAATTTCCCCCCCCCCCCCAAAATTAAGAATTTTGATTCCCTTTAATAATTGCATTGTTTCTTGCTGCAGTATTATGACTGCTTCTAGAAGTTTGACCACCTTTACTGAGTCCCGAGGAAGGGTTGAAAGAAGGTGCACTTCGATTAAAAGCGTTTGAACGAGAATTAATACTTTGCTTCGCTGAAGAGAAACTTTTAGTGCCACTACTTGACCTTCTAGGCATATTTAATCTAAACAAATGTATTATAAAAATAATAAATGTAATATATTTATTGGTTACTATAATTTTTTAACCCTTTTTTTTTTTATACTTGATTGAGAAGTAGAAAATCGAGAAAGTGAGAGAGAGGAATTTATTTTTATATAAAGGAAATTGAGGAAGTAATGGAAATGAGACGTTTATTTGTCTTTATTTTTTTTTTAATGTATCTATATCATTATTTTTTCATTTCTTTCATATATCATTATTTTTTCATTTTTCATATATCATTAATATTATGTAATAATTTGGTGACCGTGTCATTTTTTCTTGAAAAGGAATAAAAATTTGATTGATATTTCATTGTTTTATTCACATTGTTCCATTCACATTATTTTTTTATTCATTTTTTATTTTTTTTTTTAAAAATAACCAATAAGAAATTACAAATATATTTTAATTTCTTCTATATATATATTTAAATATTCTATTAAATCTAAACAATAATTTTCTTTTTTAAAGTATTCTTATTCTATAATGTAAATAATGTAAAGTAAATCCAAAAATTAAACAACAATAAATAATTATTATATTATAAAGGTTTCATTTTTTCTATATCAAATTGACATTCATGATTTTGTTCATGCCAAAATGTCATGGCTTGAATAACACCATAATAATGAGTTAAAGTACCTGCTAAAACAAAAAAATGAAATATTTGATGTGATGATCCCTGTTACATATATGTTAAGAAAAAATTAAAATTATTTAATAAATTTTAATAAAATAAAAAAGAAAACAAAAAAATTTATGAAATAAATAAATTATTTTACCCAAACATCAAATGATCCAGGTAATAAACTTTCAGGTATTCTAAAATAAATAAATTAATTAATAATTAAATTAATAATTAATTAAATATTATAAAAATTATAAAATTATTATATCAAAAAAATTATATGATACCTTGTCCCATAAACCACAGCTCCAAGCACATAAAAACCTCCTGTCATAATCTGAGATTATAAAAAGAAAAGAAAAAAAACTTTTAATAAAAATGTAAAGATAACTAAAGAAAACAAAAGAGATAAATATTCATTCCTTCTAAATAAAACTTACCATCCATTTAAGTGCAATAACATCTAATGATAATTTCACCTAATATATATCCAATTAAATATAAATGAAAATTAATAAATATTTAATTTTACTTGTTTTTTTTTTCCAAGAAACAATTAAAAAAAAATTCATTAATTACCCCATAAAGTATAATTGCATGAAATATAGGAATGAAGCCACTACCACCTAATGCAAAAAATAAACCAGTGCGAAACCATCTATACGGTGGTGTTCGAAATCGAAGATCGGTTGCCACAAATATCTATTAAGCGAAGCGAAATTATAGTTTTTTTTTTTTTTTTTTCTTAAAGTTATTTTATTTTTTTTTGGAAGTAATAAATGATTGAAATTATTATTATTATTATAAATTACCGTGGCAACTCCAAATAGAGAAAGTAATGTAATATAAAAAATCTTTAATGTATTATGACAATAAAACCCTATTAAATATAATAAAAGCCATTAAGTAATGAATTATCAGCGAGAAATGTGCGAAATGTGCGAAATGTGCGAAATGAGTGAGTAATTACCATAGTAAACTAAAGGAATTATTGAACCTCTATATAAAATTATAAATTATAGATTAAAAATATTAGAATAAATAAAATAAAATAAATTTCAAATAATCATTTGATAATGCTTACACAATCAAGGCAACAATTCCAACGTAATCACATCTGTTCCAATTTGCGCAAACCTTTTAAAGAGATTAACAATCATTAATATTTGAAGAATTATTATTATTATTATTATTATTATTTACCTTTTCCGAATGACAACAAAATGTATGAAATGCCGCGGAAAGGCTGAGACAAATCAGGGTACCAATCAAAGAACAGTAAAACGCTATGAAATCCCACCATTTAATAGAAGGATGAGTCAGAATATAGAAGTACGTAATTACAGAAAAAAATATAAACATGATGGCACCAACAAGGTGAGACCAAATGTTTACTAAAAAAAAATAATAGAATAATTGAACAATAACAATAATTTAATGATAATGATAATTTATTAATATATTTAAGAAACAAATTTAAGAATAAATTTTTATGCACACCACTTTCATTATGGAGATAAAATAAAGATTTTATGCATTTTAGATAAGAAAATGTTGGCCGTCGATAACCTAATTCGGAATTGAAAGTTAAAAATAAAATTAAATAATTAAAAGTTTATTTTTAAAGTTTTTTTAAATTTTGTTTGAGTTTATTTTCTAAAGTTCTTACCAGTAAAAATGTCATAATTATCTTGTAACCAATGTGGAAGTTCGGTAAAACTACAAGTTAATGATTTACTAACTGCCCCCCATTTGAACCAATAAAAATCATATACACGATGTGGACTAAATTCTCTAGAATCAACATTGTTCATAAGAGAAACCTTCTCATGATCTAATCCTGATTCATTTAATATGCTTTTTGCGGATGATCTTCGCTGAAAAAGCGACATATCGAAATGTACGTATTATAAAGTGTTTAAAATAAGTTTTTGTCCTCCTTTAAGAATATCTCTAAGAATATATAAAAATATACTCTTTGAAAAAAAAAAAAAAAATTTAACAAAAAATTAGTCGACCATCTTTTTTTCCTTTTTTTTTTTAAAAAAAAAAAAAATATTTTCGATCGAATTGATAAATGAAAAACAAAAGGTATTTCGGATGCATACTTTTAAAAATATATCAAATTTTCGAAAAATCTTTAAAATTCTCCGTAGAATAATGTGTAATAATAGGAAATAATAGAAAAAATAATGGGAAAATAATAAAAAAATTTTAGAAGGGAGGGAAGGGAAAGGAAGGAGAAGTATTTGATAATCGATTTATATAAAATTTTATGTGTATGAAGGCATGCACAATTTGTGTTCATGCATCGAGACGTGTATTGGTGTTTAATTTATTTTAATATATACGAAACTTATCTAACTCATACTATAAATATCATGAATCAATGAATCAATGAATCAATGAATAGTTGTTTTTTTTTATTAACCTTTTTTTTTTTTTGGTAAAAATAGGAAAAAAAAGAAAAAAAAAAATACAAAGGATATAAGTAATTTATACATGTATATATTCCTGCATTACATGTTGCTCCATGGAACGGAAAGTTCGGAGATTAATTAATTGTACCGAAATTCATTAATCTAATTTTTATAAATTTTTAAAAAAAAAAATCGAATATCGTTGCCACAGATTTGATAAAATTTAATAAATAGTACCACAGACGCCAAGTTTTTCTAGTTTTTACTAGTTTATAACAACTCTTATAATAAAGTGATATACAAAAGAAGCAGCATTATGGGAGTGCAATATATAGTATTTTAAAGAATTTGATTTTTGTGTTCTTTTTTGTGTGACGCGTTAAAAAGTATACATGTGAACCATTAAAAAAAACCACGCAAATGTGCAAACGCGTCTCTTTATTATTTTGTTAAGAAAAAGTTGATCAAAGAAAAATTCATTATCTTATATATTTTCTATACAAAATATAATTCTATTTTCCATCAAACCATTTAATTGCATCTCATTTGGCAATTCTTAGTAAGATACGTTTATTATAAGCCAACCGATTTAGATCAGGACAGATACCGAAAGGTGTTTTTTGTGTCCAAGACTTACAATCAATTTCTAATTCTAAAGAATCTGAAATGGTAAGATGAACAATTTTCATTTGATTATTTTATATTTTTCATATTTTTTTTTTGGAGATGGCCAAAATATATTGTTATATGTAATTTCTTGACCGGCTCCTTATCTACAACTTTCTTTTCAATGGAACTATAAATGATCTTCGTATCGAAATTTTTGATAATATCTTTCTATAGATTTATTTTGAATATTTTTCATCACCATATAAATCAAAACTCTATTAATGTAATCGCTTTAATCAGTTCTGTGTGTAATGCTTCTCCTAAAAAAAAATAAGTAGTAAAAATTTAGTTTAAGTGATAATAAAAAAAGATAAATACTAAATTATACGGCATATATTGACAATATAGATAGGTACAGTATAAATGAATCAAATTTCACGATGCATTGATTAAGACCATCGAATATCTCGAATATCGGAATTTAAACTTATTTCTATTCTTTATGCCGCCGGAAAATGATTACATCATCCATATTATTATCTTAATTATTGTTAAAACATACGAACTTTTTATTTGTCATATTTTCAAACATTTTCTAAAAATAGGAGGAAAAAATAACGATAAAAAAAAATATAATAAACTTTATCATTCATCTATATTTCATTTTATATTTGACATTAATTAAATGTTAAAAAAATATAATAAATTCACGCAAAAAAAAAAATTAATAATAATTAAACTTTCATGAACTTTCACATAAATTACAATTTTTTTTTTTCCTACCAGATGGAATACGCAGCATGAATTTCAAAGTTTGTGAAACTTGGAAGCGAATATAAATTAGGGGATCATCCTTGAGATATTTGATACATATCTGAGAAATACGTACACAATAAAAATGACCTCAACCGAAAGAACTTTAGATTCTTCGCAAAAATATTCGTCACCATTAAACAGCATATTAGAAATAGCTGAAAAAATTGGATTTATTAATGTTATTAGCGTGCAAAATTTTGTTGATAATTTTTTTTTTTTACGCGTCGGCTAAATTTTTTCTATGTTCTAAATTTGATATAATACTAGGAAGAGATACCGTCATTTTCATCAAAAATTTTATCTTCAATACAATTAGTTAATTTACTCTGTGAATTACTTTCTCTTCGTGATCAAAATGAAAAGGTTTGTTAAAATAATAATAATAATGGAATATAGTAATTCATATTATTGATTATTATCATTGTTTTCTGTCGTTGTTACAGATTCTTCACGAACTTACAAAAATCAAAGATTCTCAATCAAGTTTTGACTTGGTAAATGAATCTGAACTAGGTATATACATTAAATATTTGAATTTAATGTTTACATTTAATATTTACATTTATGTGAAATATTTATCTTATTAAAAAATAATAGAAAAAAAAATCAAAATTTTCTCAGACTTTAGTAAACATATAGAATCTATTATTTCAAATAAACAAGATCTTTTGATGAGACTTAAAGATCCTTTTGTTGGTGAAAATATAAACATAGAGCCTCAATATCACAAGTACGTTATCTCAAAAATCAGTAATGAAAATTTTTTGGGGTTTTCTTTGGAAGATAATAAATTATATATACATTTATAAATTTTATTCTTGTTATAAAATATAGAGATTTTGCGGAATTATTTCCATTAATTGCACAGAGCATCGCTTCATTATCTTATGAACTGGAAAGTATTCAATGGTTTAAAAGTTACAACTTTGCAGATCAAAATATGGTAAATAAAAATTCATTATTATTATTATTATTATTATTTATGATAATTATTAATAATATCATTAAATATTTTAAATCATTAATATTATTAATATTATGAATATTTCAAATATCATTAATATTATTAATATTTTAAATATTAGAATTCTCAAATTTTGAAAATATCATCTATAATTGCAATTTATGGAAATTATTCTGATTGCCTTGATCGTGTTAGAAAAACATTAAAAGATATTGAAGATGTTCAAACCATTAACAAAGGAAAAGCCAAGATTTGATTTTTTATAATAATAATAAAAAAAAAATAAGTGAGAATTGATCCTGTTTTAATCCTGTTTTTCTCCTGTCAAAATCTTGTGCTAATCCTGAACTAATCATGTATCGATCTTAGTAAGTAAAATTTATATGAATGAATAATTTTCTAATTATAGATAAGGATTTAAAAGTTAAACCAATCTTCGTTATCGTAAACGGGATGATCATAATTGTTTATCCCTTTTCCGTTATCTTTTCGAATAACTTGAAATATCTAAAAAAAAAAAAAAAAAAAAAAAAAAAAAATTAAAAATTAAAAAAAAAAAAATTAAAAAAAAAAATTAAATTAAAAATATCTAGATTAATAAATTTAAAATTTATTACCTCCCAATCAATCCATCGAAAAATTCCCGAAATATTTATTACACTTGGTTGATAACATTTACGAACGATGTGACCAATCGGTTTATTAGGATTAATATTAACCCAAATGTCTGGACCAGTACCAAAACATGGACCATCCCAAGGATGATCATATATAGCGAATTGATTATATTCTGTTACTACATAACTATGTTTCGCTTGCTTCTCCAAATTTTTATTATTATCACCAAAAGAAAATATAAAACATTCACTTTTACCCCGAGCAGGTGAGAACCAAGATCTTTTCCAACCAACTTCTAAAGGATTATAACCACCAATTACTTGATTTGTATCACGAATTTTAATAAAAACTACTGTTGGACCTACGTTATCACATTTTTTATGAAAAGAATTTGGATAAATTCCATCACGACTTGCACGAAATAAAAGTTTAAATTTGAAAGGAACATCTTTAGGACAAAAATTTGTTTTTTCTATCCAACTAGCAACTATTGTAGCATGTTTATGATTTACAAATGTAGAATCTATTGTCATAGCTGGACTTCTAGGAGGTAATAATGGTATTGAAATTTGTTGATCGGTTTGATCGTTGATATGATGATAATGAATAATATTATCTACTAGATTTCTTGGTAAAATTTTTGAATAAGGAAATACTTTTTTGTAAAAGTCAACTGGTGAAATTTGATTAAATCGAATAAGTGGTATAAATCTACTCATTGTTTTCTCCAAAGCAGCAAAATCTTGTGAAGACCAACTTTTAACATTATGAACATTATGATAATTATTATTATTGTTATTGTTATTATTATTATTATTATTATTATTTGAATTATTATTATTCAACTTGTTGTTCAAATTAGGAGTGTTCATAATACCCCATTCAAGAACATATTCCCATAAATCACTTTCTTTAATTTCAAAATCATCACGTTCTAATATTTTGTGAAGTACGGTTTCATCAATGTAAGGGAACCATTCTGATTCAAAAAATGAAGCTTGATTTTGAATGATAATTTCTTCGAGACAATATTCTCGTAATTTATTACATGCATCAAGTGGAGATATAATACTGATAAGTTGGGCAAGATCTTCGTCTATCCATATTGCTTTGGATTCAATTAAATATGTTTGAATATATTCTAATAAACCATCAATCATTAATTCGTCAGCGGCCACGAGAATATCAAGAATCTCGGATATCTTCTTTCCTTCTAAATTTATTATGCCACTATAGATGTAACTAATTAATATAATTAAATAGAATTATTAGAATGATTAATAGAAGTATTTAAGTCAGACATATATATATAATCACACAGTTGGGACCAATTAAAAGAAGGTGATTATAAAGAATAGTGATTATATAAAGTTTTTTTTTAATAGAATTACTAGAGATGCAGACTTATGCTAGAATTTGAATCGCGTCATATGTTTTTTATATGCCATGACTTATCTACGTCATGGACTTAAATTCTAAAGTCTGCACTTCTAAGCATCCGTTTTCTATTAGGTTGAAGTTTATAGTAAAATCATCACGTGATAAGGTCATTTCAGAGTCATTATAGGTCTTTTGCCAACATTGTATGTAACAAGTGTGATTATAAATAGGTTTTTATAAGATGTGATTATATATACGTCTGACTATAAATTTATTTTTTCAAAAAAGCAAAAAACAAGGCAAAAAAGTAATAAACATACTGTAATATCGAACTAAATATGTAAGGTTTGATATTTGGTTTTTCGAACAAAATAATATTTTCATGCGTTTTTGCCCATTCGTTTGATAATGCGGCACGAAAATAAGAAGAACGTGCTCTTAAGATCAGCGAATGAGTTTTAAATTCTTGAACATTTGGAGATTTTCCAACCCGAATTGTGACATTATACTCTTCAGTATGTTCAATTAATGAACAGATATCTTGAGAGAAACTAATTAACAAGTCACAATTCATTGTTGAAGAAAATATTTTTTTTAAAAAAAAACAAAAACAAAACCGAGTTTATTAAATAGGGGATTCTGAAGTCAAAATAAAAGCGTGATTTTTATCCAAAATAAGGATTTTAATTAATTAGAATTATATTAAATGACAACAAATTAAATCATAATTGACGTATCTAGGTTAATTAGGTTAATGACTTTCTCAGGAGAATAGTCATCAATGAAATCATTCATGGATCACTCGTTCCAATGAAGGTAATAATTTACAATATTCCTGCGATTCCTTAAATTAGTTAAAATATGAAGAGAAGATCAATTACGGAAGCACGTTCTTTAACAAATAATGATTTTAAAGTATTTGTAATACAATAAACAAAAATTAATCATCCAGTAAAAATATTTCACGTCATATGTGGACGTTGCAGTAAAAAATGATGTATTTCTCGTAAAAAATTTTTTTAACCTATTAAAAAAATTTACTATAAAAAAAAAAAAAAAATGTCACAACAACGTAATAGAGTAAAATTTGCCAATACTTCAAGTTCTTCTTCTTCCACCGAATTTATATCTCAAACTCCTACTACACCTATTCATAATTCTAATTCTATAACAAAATTTCATCTAATTCCTCATACTTTAATTACATTTAATCAACTAACGTTATCAACTTTATGTCTTTTTTATATTCCTTCTAAAAAACTTTTGGATGATCCAGTAAAATGTTTAAATATCACAACTTCTTTATTAATTTTTGTACAATTATTTAGTGAGACTAGTAGATGGTTATTATATTTACAAAATGATGGAATTGAAACAACAAAAAATGCAAAAGTTATGATTAAAAATTTAATAAAATATAAGGGTATGGTATGTATGTACATCTTTATTATTTATTATTTCTTTGTATAATTATTAAATTTATTAAATTATTAATTTATTAAATTATTAAATTTATATTATTAAATCTATTAAATTATTAATTCGAATAACAGAACTATCTTCATTCAATATGGATAACTTTATTTTGTGCCTTTATGTTTCATCTTATTGCGGTTCTATTTGGAGCACCTTTAGTGTTGTAAGGATTTTCAATTATTTATCATTTTAATTTTGATATTCATTATTGTTATTTTATTCTTAATTCTAATTTATCTTTATTGTTTTTATTGTTTATTGTTTATTTTTTAAAATTAGTAATGTACAAAGAACATGGTTATTTGCTCTTTATATGTCATTGCTTGCGATATTTCCTCCTTCATTAGCATTTAAAAATCATGGGCCTTATTGGTCAAGAGTATTTTCGGATAACAAGTAATTATTATTTATTTATTTAATATTTCGTTTTTCTTTCTACCCCATTTTCTTTATTTTTCTTCCTTTAATAAATTTTATTTATACATGTTCCCTATTTTAAATTTAATTTATACATTTTCCCCCATTTTAAATTCAATTTATACATTTTCCCCTATTTTAAATTCAATTTATACATTTCCCCTATTTTAAATTCAATTTATCTTTTTCCCTAGACCAGAGAGTGTACCAGAAAAAATGATTTACCATACTACTGTGTATACAGTTATTGGAGCATGGTTAGGTGGTACAGTTATTCCTTTAGATTGGGATAGACCTTGGCAGGTTAGTCTACATAAATTTTTTTTTCGATATAATTATTTGATTATTTATGTATTTATGTATTTAGGTTTGGCCAGTATCTTGTGTAATTGGAGGTTATTTAGGACATGTAATTGGAAGTATCGTATCATTGCTCGTGTGTTACTTTAGTGGTGAAGGTTCTCCTATACAAAAGAAACGTGAATAGAAGAAAATGGAAGAAAATAAAGTTTAATAATAATAAAATTGTTAATTATTGATAATAAAAAAAGGGGTTAAATCAGTAAATTACATAATTCAATATTAATTAAATAAAATTATTTAATAAATAATCTTAATCTAGTTATTTCAAATTATTACAAGTAATTTCAAATTATTTCAACAAGAAAATAATATATAAAACAGGAAAATGCATATTTTTTAAATTTTTAATATAATATCAGATGTCAGATAATATGATTGGGTAATCTTAAAAAAATGTGCTCGTGATATCAGCAAGTTTTGTTAAAATCAATCTATATAAATGCCCGTTATAATCAATGAACAAGTTTAAGAATATCACATGTCAAGAATAGAAAAAATTTTATTAATAATAAATAAATAAATATTAATTAAAATTATAGTAATACATTAAATAATCTAATAATACATTAAAAATGTGATTTTTTTTTTAATAAACATTCTTTCATAATTTAAGCTAAAGTTATGCAAGACCAACCAATAACCAATGTCCCTGGAGGGTTATGTCCAACTCTTTCCAAGATATCAGCAATTGTACCTATTGTCCCTTTTATAACATTTTGATCTACACAACTTGCTTTCTCAATAATAACACAAGGACATTCTGCTGGAAAATTACCTTCTTTCATTAAATCTTGTGTTATTTGTCTAATTCTATGACATGCCATTAAAAAAACTGTTGTTCTATAAGGATGATATGTAGGAATTTCAGGTAAAGTATTTTTACGTCCCGTACCAGTACAAACCAAGAATTGTGAAGCTACTCCTCGATGAGTGACAGGAATATTTGCTAATAAAGGTGCTGACATACAAGATGAAATACCGGGAATAACTTGTGGAATATAACCGTTTGAACGATAAAAGAGAAATTCTTCTCCACCACGACCAAACAAAAATGGATCTAATTACATATATTAGATTATTTAAATTATTATATTAGTTTTTGTTAATTTTCAAAAATTATTCAAAAATTATATATATGATATGATACTAACCTCCTTGTTTTAATCTCACAACTTTTTTGCCTTGATTTAGAGCCTCGAGACCTAAACGATTAAGTTCCGCCTGAGATGCTTCAACATTTGCACAAAATTTCTTTGCTGCAATAAGCACTTCTATATGTGAAGGTATTAACTTCAAAACTTCACTTGGTACTAGCTTATCGGATAATATCACGTCTGCTTCTTGCATTGCTTGATAAGCTGCCAGAGTTAATAAATTTGGGTCTCCGGGTCCTGATCCAACAAGTTGGATTTTACCTCGTCTACGGAGTGATCTCGATGATTCACGTGAGTTATTTAGGTGAATTGGACTCTGTATCAAACATGAATCTGTAACAGTAGTCGATTTATGTATCTTTTGGTCTTTTAGGTCTCTATATTGAATTAAATGTTCTTTTAGAAATCCAACCAATTCATTTAGTTTCAATTCTTGTGCGGCTTCGAGAAGTTTGGTAATTTCCGTGCTATTACGATTTTCCATAGAAATGGTGCCGGTATATATGAACCTGAGGGTTAAAAAGTTTTAAAAATTTGTTGATTAGTTAATATCATATATATATGCATATATATATGTATATATTATGAATTATACTTTTTTATGGAATTACATTTATTTATGAAGTCCTATTTAATATTTTACCTTAATATGACTTCAAATATCGATGGTGATATATTTGATTTCTCGATATAAAACAGATTATCCTCTTTCTTCTTTACATTTTTACATGTATCACGAAAATATGGTGAAATAGCCCGTAAAATAATTGAATGTGCTTTAAAATGTTTGATATTTGGTTCTTCACCTACACGAATGATGATGTTATATTCATCATCATCGTCTTCAAGTAATTTTCCAATTTTAGAAGAAAAACTTGATAATAATTTATTATAAGACATTTTTTTTTTAGAAAAGAAAAAAAAAAAGAATCGAGAAATAGTAAATAAATGCTGATAATATATATACTATATAAAATATCTTAAAAAGGCATATCTTATTGTAGTATAAGATTTTTATTAGTTATCCCATTCCACCAATCTAGAAGTGAGTAGTTATATATGATAAAGATGATCTGACGATAGTAAATTTATCAGATTCTTTTTTCTTTTAATAGAAATAGATAACATTAATGTGATGCGAACCAAATTTTTTTTAGTAATCTCATCAATTTATTAATTAAGAGGGAGTAGATTTATTTGCATTATCTTTTTTTTTGTTGATAACTAAATTGCTTTATCGAAATGCAAATTAACTTGAATTCTTTTGAATTGATAAGAAAAAAAAAATACATTTCGCCTAATCCTTTTATATAATATAATGGATCCGGATAGGATGACATATAATCAAATAATTAAGTAGTTTTACAGCAATACTTTTCTTTTAATAATGTAAAAAATAAATCATGCAGTTAATTTGTAATTCATTGATTAACAGAAGAAATGGTATTCTCAGATTGAATTTTACAAAAAGAAAAGAAGAAAAAAAGAAAAAAAAAGAAATCATCCAGTAAGACAAGAAAGAAAGAAAGAAAAATGAATATTTCTTTGCTCTTTGAAATTATATAAATTATATATGGTATAATTTGATTTACTTATAGGAAAGCAGAAAGTTTACATTTAATAATGATAATAATAATTATAGTCATTTAGAGTTTAGGAATAAAATTTCAATTTTAAATATTTCTGTAAATAAGAAATAAAATAAAAGGAAGGAATACATTTTTAAATATCAGATAATAAAAATTAATAAGAAATTTATTATTATTATTATTATTATTATTATTATTATTTGAAAACAGCAAGAGTTTTATTTCCATCATTTCTTATCAATATCGTTCTAACAACCAAGAAATAATTAAATATATAAAAATAAAATAATATAAAGTTCAAAGTATATTCCTTTTTTATTTATTTTATTTAAAATAATTAATCAGATAAAATAATAATAATAATAATAATAATTACTTACGAATTATTAGCTTCTATTTTTATTGTAAATAATTGTTGTGAATTTGAATCTTCATTCAAAGATTTAGCATGTGTGGCTATCTCTCTAATAATTCCAGAACAATTTGGATTTGCCGTTCCTAAAGCTTTTAATAATAATAATAATAATAATAAAGTTTATTTAAATTTCTTTGCGATTATTTATAAATAAAGAAAAAAGAATAATTATTGAAATTATAAAAAGAATAATTATTGAATTATTAGGAATTACCTCCAAGACATAAACCATGTTCATCAGCTATTAAAACTCCTTTAACACCATCCGTTTTAATCCTTCAATTAACAAATATATGAAAGAATTATAAAAAAATAAAACAAATATTTATTTAAAATTTATTTAGAATTCATAAAAAAAATACTATTTGGTTATTTACAATGATTCTAAAACCGATATTACTGCGGTTTCCATTCTTTGAGTAAATCAGAGTTCGCCTTTGTCTAATAATATAAAAAAAAAGTGTTGATATATATATTTATATATATAGTATACAAGGGCTAATTATTTGTGATCAATACATGCATATAACTTGAAAAGTCACATGTATTTACCCACAAATTTCGAATGGTATATTATAGTTGCATAAATTGTTTTTTTTTTCAAAAGAACAACATTTTATAAATTCATAGAGTTTTGAATCAAATTGTCCCGAATTTTAAGTATTTTTAGTTAATTTATAAAATTTCAATGATATCATCATGATGCAATTTTTGCTGACGACATATTTAAAACGAACTTTTTTTTAAAAAGTTTATTTGCTTCTTGTTCTTGAATTTTTCTTTAAAGAAGTTTCAATGACATAAAATTATTATTTTAATCTTTATTTTAAATGTAAAAATATTATATAAATGGAAAACAAAAATATATTCTTACCTAGATATCACAGAACAATTTTTACCATCTCTCAAAACCTTATTATTGCAAAGGTATTTAACATTCATGAACTTTCTCTCATGATATTTAATTATCTACCCATAACAGATCTTCTAAGAATTCGTGGAGTATGTAAACATTGGCAAATTCTTGATCCACTTCCTCGAAAAATTGTGGGTTTACTTAATTGTATTAAACAAAAACTTGCACCCGATTTACTTATTCTTTCCACTAAACATTTTCGTTCTACTTATGATCCTTATAAATTTCTTGAGATTATTTGTGTATTTAATGATAAACGTTATACAAATGTATTTCCATATGAAGCAGAAGGTAGGATTGAAGTTAAAGGAGAAGAAGAAGAAGAAGAAGATAATAATGAAAATAATGGAGAAAATGATTATAATGAAGATGATTATGAAGATTATGATAATCCAGAAATTGATGATAATATGGATTTGGATATAATGTCCATTGAAAATTATTGGAAACCTGATTATATTCCATTGATTACTTGTGGACATTCAGATATTAGTGAAATTGTAATTAAAGGAAATTTTCATAATCATGAAAGTCATGAAAGGAATATTAAGATCAAACCTGAATGGTGGGGGTTGATGTTAGAAGAAGAGAAAAATTTTAAAATAGAAATTAGTGCGAATACATTAATTTGGAATAAAGGAAATAATGAAACCAAAGATGGAAAGAAGGGAAAAATTATTGAAATTTATTAATAAATTTGGATATTCCCAATTTTTATATATATTTTTTTTTTTTATATTTTCTCATTCTCTAATAATTGTATATTTATTAAAGATAATAATTATTTTATTAACTGTATTTATTAATTGTATTTTATAACTGTATTTTATAATTGTATTTTATAATTGTATTTATATATATGTTTAATAATAATTTAATACTTCTCATAAGTTGCATATTATTTTTATTAATAAAATTCTTAATTGATACAACGCGATAATTCATATCGGAGCAAAAATTTTTAGGTACTTTATTTCTAGTTTACAATATTTATATATAATAATTTAATAATTTGAGAAAAATTTATAAATTTATAATAATAATTTATATAATTTATATAATTTATAGGAAAAAAAAAAATCTTAGAAATACTGTATATAATTTATATAATTTGTATAATTAACGACAATAAAATTTTTTGAAAAAAGAAACTTGGATTAAAGTAAACTATCGTGAATACATCATTGCAATTATGGCAGCGCCAATACATCCACCATCGAAAATTCCACTTAATTTGATCTTTTTAGCTTCTTTTATTTGTTGAATATCTTTCATAGCTTTACTCACCAAGATAGAATATTTAAAATAATGATGAAATATTGAGCCATCAATAGCAACTCGAATTTCTCTTTCAACTTCAGGAAATTCTGGGCATTGAAGTTTTATCAAAGATGCAATTGCCGCCGCTTGAAGTTGACACGAACGTCTTGAAAATTTTTGAACAATTCTTTTTATAATACCTGCATCTTCAATACTCGGATTATTAATAAAAGTGAAATTTTTTGTTAAAACTTTTAATGTCCCAGTGCAATCTTTACTCAAATCACTAAAAAAAAATAAAATAAAATAAAAAATAAATAAATAAATGGAAATAAACCTTTTTTTTAAAAAATATTTTTTCACTCCCATAAAGACTCTTTTTTCTTCTTGCACTTACCTTTCAATATCAGACATGTGAGTAGTTTTGAAATTATATTTTATTCCAAGTTCTTCAGGTAATTTACCTTCAAATAATCCAAAATTTTCTACATAATCTACAATTACTAATCTAACCAATTCACCTAAATACATTCCACTTGTCATTTTTTCAAATGGTTGAAATCCAGGCGAATCACTTTGTTCATCTAATAATTTATCATATTTTGTAAATGGTAAAAAATCGGCACCCACTAAACTCCATTCTGTATTTATAATCATATATTCAGGAAATCCCGGTGGAAATTTTTTTTTTTTAATAGAACCTATTTGAACTATGCAAGCAGCATTAGTTCCAGTCCCTTGAATTACTGATACAATAGTATTTTGATCTTTATATGCATTGGCAACTAAAGTTCCAACACTATCATTTACTATTGCTGAAATATGAATATTTATTCCCTACAATATAAAATTATTTTAAATTAATAACTTGTTAATAAATGTTAATAAATGTTTAAAATAATTTTTAATAATTATATTAAAATACGAGTAATACGGAAAAACGGAAATGAATTACAGGAGAATGATCGACCAACCAGATGATTGTTAACTCCTTCATCTGGTTAATAATATCATATATTAAAAATAAAATATTTGTAACATCATATTTTTAAATTAATTTACCTTTCGGTTATAAGCTTGTTGTAAAAGTTCAACAGGATCTTTTCCTTCTAATCCGATCACTTTAAATCCTTTGCCCATACGCATAACTTTACCACGATCGATAGCTGTTTGACTTAAAAAAATTAATTAATTAAGATTATTTAATAAAGTTTTAATTATTTAATTTAATTTAATTTAATTTAATTAACATTCATTTTATTTTATATAATTTAATTTTATCAAATATTCCTTACTTACTCTATAGGGAAACTGAAGGTCACTCCCATAAACATTTTATCATTATTGGTATTAACAACCTTCGAACTAAGTGATTCCAATAACTCTTGAGTTATTGATGCGATCCAATCAAATAACTCTTCGGCCGTTCCCATTTTTAAGTGATCAGGGATGACATATATTCTTTGTTCTACACTTGTCTTTCCATCACCTAACAATGTTACTGCAGCAACTCGCAAATTGGTCCCTCCGAGGTCTAAAGCAAAATATGTTCCCATTTCTTTCCCAGTAGGAAGTCTCGATACATATGAAGGTATCATAATAGAATGATCATTTGTAAGTCCATACTGATAAGATTCTATAAAACTATCCACAATTGATAATAATTTTGGTGTTTCAAGAGAGGTTTCTTTTTCAAATTCCAATAAAGATGTTGATAAATCCATTATTATTAATATTTATTATAATAATGTTTGTTATAATATTATTTTAATTTATATTTATTATTTATTTATTATTTATTATAATATTATAATATTTAGTTTTATAAATTGGTTTGGAAGAATAAATTTTTCAGGAAAAAGATTTAGGACAGAAATGAAAAATTGTCAACCTTCTAAAAGTTTAAATTATCTGCAAAAATCCAAAATTATTAACACGTGTAGTACTTGATTCATTATAGTTCTCTTCTTTAAGCATAAAAAAACGAGGGTCCCTCGATTCACATGACTCACGGACTCTCAATTTAGTAAATAATTATTATTTAATTGGTGTATTTTTTCTCGTTTAAGTGTCTTTAGGTGCCACAGATCATCCGAACAATATTTTTATAAAACAATTATGACAATCTTTAGAAATTTGAACCAAAAAAAAGTTTATAAATGATAAAAACTATTTCACTTATGTCATAAAGCAGGAATTATTTATTTAGAAAATATGGATAAAGTTTATCCCGTGAATGATGAAAAGGGCATTCTTTATTTTATTTATTGACACTACTGAAAATATATAAATTAGAATTCCTTTTTAACTGGCTCCAATTTTATACTTTTTTTTTTCGAATAATATTTAAATAAATATATTCTTGTTTCCATTTATTAATTTTGCATAATCTTACATAATTCCATAATTTAATTTTATAGGATGTGATTTATTCCTTATTTAGTGTACTAATTATCAAAAAATTTCTATATAGATGTAATAAAGTCCATTATTAAGGAATTTTTGGACACAACATGTATGATTTGCCCCAATAGCCTAATGGATATGGCGTCGCCCTCCTAAGGCGGAGGTTCTAGGTTCGAGTCCTAGTTGGGGCGAATATAAAAGTTTTTTTCGTTTTAAGTTCGAAATTCAAGTTGTAATAGAAAAGTATGAAGTAACCTGCAAAAGTATTTAATATATTGACTGGACTATTTATATATAGAATCAGAGATGGAAAAAATAATTTTATTCCTTATTTAAATAAATTTCTGGATTATTATTCTTGTTCTTTCTGAATTACACAAACAATCAAAAGATTTTTGGCACACCAAACATTTTCATCCTCACGAATACATTTAGTTAATTTAAATGGTTTTTCTTCATCTGGTGTAAGGGCTACTGACTTCACTTGTGTAATCATAAAATCTAATGCTCTTTCATCAAATTTTTCATCACCTACTTGCAATAATTCTGTCATCGCCAAAACCGACATATCAGCCAAAGTACGTGCATAAAAAGCACTCTCTAAACAATATGACTTTAAAGTTGGTTTACTATTAGTCTTTTCATTATATTCTTTATATTGCAACTTCAATTCTTCCAAAATTTTTCCTTCATATAAAAGCTCTTTTCTTGCTTTGACGATTAAAGAAATTCGTTTGAGAATTTCGAAATCTCCAACTAATTCTTCATAATATTTGTAAATTAATGGTAAAAATAAAAATTCCAAATGAAATACAATATATATTGCACCTCCAGGCTTTAATAATCCATATAAAAATGTAATAAATTTAATAACATCTTGATACGGATCAATCTCGGATTTCCTATAATCAGTTCTAAATAAAATATTTTAAAGTATTTATTAAAAATATTTATTAAAGTATTTATTTTATTAATTGGAAAAAGTATTTATAATTTGGAAAAATGGTATTTATTAAAACTAAAGTAAATTTGGAAAACAAAACAAAAAATTTTTACTTACAAATAGTAAATCATATGCGAACAATTAATGAAGTCAACAAGAACTGGAGGTTTTGGTAAATCTTTTTGACCGTTGTTGAAGAGATAATCTTGAATTAAACCTTTATAAATAATTCCTTGACTAAGATGTTTATATTCTAAAAATTTTTGTTGATAGGCTTTTATCAAGATAGGATTTGGTTCAATAATATGAATAAAATTTTTACGATTTGATGAATTATTTAATTCATCTGCAAAAAACCAATCGATAGCTTCTCCAGATCCAGCTCCAACATCCAAAATATGAAATTCATTTGATGTAGAATTATTAACCGTTGAACGAAAAGTTTCACACAATGAAGGGTAGACAAGTTCTCGACTATCTACTCCCAAAAAATCTGATGGTGACCTTGGAGTTATCACACCACGTTTAAGAGCCAACATACGATTGCGAAATACATGTTCATAGACTTCATTGTTGTTAAGATTTTGAAATTCTACTCGAACGCTAGTTTCAGCATCACGTTCTTCTTGAGAAAACACAGTATAATCCATAGAAATAATAGTGAAAAGTTGAAAAAAAAGTGAATGAGGAAATAAATTCTCACGCACACCTTAAATAGCTATAAATAGTATAATGTGATTATCATTGATTTTATTTTTTACAATGCCCGCCCAAAATGATAATATATTAATGATAATTTTATCCGGGCCAACTTCAAGTCGTTTAAGCAATAACCACAATAATTCTTTATCAATAAATTTAACACGTTCGCAATCACAATCTCCTTGTTAACGGTTTAAATTCATGTTCATCACACAATTCATTCAAAATAGTAATACGGAAATCACGTTGCATAATTTCGAAATACTTTTTCGCTTTTTTGGGTTAATAATTAAAAGCTGCCAAAGATGGAGTTTAAAGTATTCCAGTTTTAGATATCAAAAACACACCACTAAAATCTTGAATTTAGAATTAGAATTAATTATTATCTGCGAAGAACAATATCCCACATCCATAAATGGAAAATAAATAAAAATAATTATAATTCTTAAATGCTGAAATTTCTTCAAAAGCAGTAAAATACATATTCAAACGTTACAATTCTAAATTATTCCAATTCCACATGCATTTATAACTTTTTGCCTCACAGAGATGTTTTTATCATATATCAATAAAAAGGGTTCGTTTTTATTTTTTTATTTTTTATTTTTTCGATCATTCATTTCTCTTTGCCCTCTTGTCCTTTCATAGATAAAAACCTAATCCGAACTATCCGAACTATTCATTCTTTTTAAAATAAAAATGAAATTTCCATTATTATTCGATTACTTTTTCTTCTCTTCAATATTGTCTCGTTTTGCAATAATTTGGTCAATAAATTCTATATTATTCGGTACTATATACACTGTAGAGGCGAGAAAATTTCGTAAGTATTACGCATACGAATACGATAGTTTTTTTTTTTTTTTTGAATTAATAAGTAAATCTTTAAATTAAAGATACGAAAAAAGACATTGTTTCAAGTAACTTATGTGACCCTTGCGTAAAACAGGTTAGTTTAGTAATTATGATAACATGATTTTTTTTTTTTTAAAAAAAAAAATAATTAATTAAATTTTTTATGTAATTAAAATTTAGTATTCTGGGTATATAACGACTTCAGACAATGCGAACTATTTTTTTTGGTTTTTCGAATCGAGAAACAATCCAAAGAGTTCGCCTCTAACATTATATCTCAATGGTGGTCCAGGTTGTTCCTCAATGATTGGTCTTTTTCAAGAATTGGGACCTTGTCAATCTGTACAAAATACAAGTAAAGTTTGCGACCGCCCTGAAAGCTGGAATAAAGTGTCAAATTTATTATTCGTTGATCAGGTGAATATCAAATAAATTATCGACTGTAACGATATATATTTATATATAATTATTAATCAAATTTTCAAAAAAAAAAACGCAATAGCCGATTGGTGCAGGGTTTTCATATGGTGATAGACTTTTATCTACTACGGAAGAAGCTGCCGAAGTCCTTTATGAATTCTTACAGTTATGGTTTAATCGGTTTCCGGAATATTCGCGGTTAGATTTCCATCTCTTTGGAGAATCTTACGCTGGTCATTACGGTAAGTTCCTTAAATTTTCCTCTTTGTTATAACTTTATTAATTTTTCATAAATGTTAATAATTTTATTCAATGTTATACGTAGTACCCGCAACTGCTGATTTAATATTAAAGAACAATAATTTAAAAAAAAAGAAAAAGTCAGATAACATAATCTCAATAAATTTAAAATCGATTGGTAAATAAATATTTGAAATATTTGTTCGATATTATTAAATTAATTAAATTAATTTCTCTTTAAATAATAGGCATAGGAAACGGATTAATCTCTCCTGCCATACAATAGTAAGTAAATATTTTTTCATCAAAATTTTATATTATAATTTATAATATTCTAATGTTTAACATTTTCATAACTATAAGTGAATCGATGACTCATTATTGCGAACATAGCAATTGTATGTAATTTTCTTGAATTTTTTAAAATCTTATTAAAAATATCTAATTCGATAAAAAAAAAAACAACATTAAATATATAAAATGCGTTTTCTTCATTAGATGGTCACATACTTAGTCCAGACCTTATCTCAAAAATGAAATCGAATTTTCCAACATGCAAGAAATTAAGTAAGTTTATTTTTTAATATTTTTTTTAAAAAAAAAAAAAATTTTTGTTATTTTATTTTTTATTTTTCACTAATGTAATTCCTTCGATTTCTTCATGAAAGTTAACAAATGTGCTGAAACAAATTCTCCCGATGATTGTGGTAAAGCTGGAGATTATTGCGGAATGAATTATTATTCATATTTTCTCGATAATTCTGGTTTAAATCCTTATGATGTTCGTTATCCCAACACTACAATCCATACCCATCCATCACCGGATTATATCAATTATTTAAGTGATCCAGATGTATTGAAAAAAATTGGTGCAAAAATTGAATATACCGAATGTTCTGAAAAAGCTAATTATCCTTTCATTATGGAAAAAGCAGATGAGTAAGTTATTTTTGTCTCATTATTCATTTATTCTTTTATATGCATCAGAATATTTTCAAGTAAATTTAACCAATATATAAAATTTTTTTATTATCATAGCATGAGAGACTTTCTTCCAGTACTAAGTTCAGTTGTAAACCAAGGTATTCGTACATTGTTATTTTTTGGTGATGCGGATTTTGGGTGCAACTGGTAAGAATTTATATTAGTCTATTATCATACTTTTTTTAAAAAAAAATTTTATTCATGTTGTATTCTTTCTTTTTATGAATAAAACAGGATGGGAGGACATAATGTTTCAAAAGCAATCCAATGGAAAAATCAGAAGCAATTTAATTGTGCACCATTCAAAGAATGGTGTTTGGGTGAATCAAAACCTAAAGGAAAAATTCAAACATATTGTGATTTAACATTTATCTCAGTATATGAAGCAGGTCATGAGGTACCATTTTATCAACCAAAAGCTTCTTTAGAAATGTTTAGACGTTGGATTAATAAAGAAGTAATTAATTAATATAGACATAATTTTTTTTTATACATATATAAATTAATAATAATTTTTAATACTAATATAATAAACGATGTGTGTGAAGATTCAAAAACAATTGACATTTGGTGTCACCAAAAAGTTACACGCACTTAAATTGTTTAAATTTAAAATTTATTTTGACAAATGAGTTATCTTTTGCTTATTTATAGTATAACATAACATTATCCTTATAAAATAATAATTTTTTCCTCAAAAAATAACAAATAACAACTTAACTCCATGTCTCATCATTTATCCACAAGTTTGACACATTCTCATATAAATGAACGTACAGATAATTTGTCGTCTTGTTTCAAAAGTTTAAATAAATTAAAAAATGAATTAATCATAAAGTTAGTTGAACCTTCAATTGTACTACGAGGAGATCCACAAGAAGCATCAGGCACTTATTTAAGAGGTCATTTAATATTGAATATAAGTAAATCTATTAATATAAAAAAACTTAAAATTAAATTTTATGGAAAGGCAAAAACATTTTGGGTGACAGGTATTGTATTTTCATACTTTCTAGTATTAAGATTAATTAATATTCTAATTAATATATTCTAATTAATGTTCTAATTAATATTAATACGCTTATTAATATTCACAGGTTCAGGAACTGAACAAAATGCATGTTCAGAAATACGAGAAATTATTAATCATAAAATACAATTTAAACTTTCAACGGCTGAAGTATCATTGCAACATAATCATATGTTTGAATTAAAAAAATTCAAGATTCGATCAGCCACAGTCAAGTTTCCTCCTGGTTCTTATACATATCCATTTGAAATATTCATTCCCGGAAATATTTCAGAGTCTGTTAATACAGAATATGGAACGATCAAGTACAAATTAGTAGCACGAGCTTCACGATCTATATTATTTTCGAAACTTTCAAAAAATCTTGATTTAGAAATTATAAGAATCTTACCGGATTATGATATTTCTGAAGGGATAGGTTTTTCAAGGGATTACAATTCAATACTTAATTATGAAATTTCAATTCCGAAACATGTATTTCCTCTCGGACAAGTAATTCAAATCGATGTTAAATTAATTCCTTTTATCAAAAAGCTAAAATTTCATGGACTAAGTATTAAATTAATAGAAAAAACCGATTACATAGCAAATAACGATAATATAAGGGTTTCCAAAACTGTGGCAATTCTTGAGATCAATGATTTAATACAAGAATATCTTTTAGAAGATCAAGAAGAAGATGATATAGGTAACACAAGTTATCATAGTAATTTCGATTTTCCGATACCAAATTGTAAAAGTGGAACCAACTATTCTATAAATACGCCATTAATTAAAATTAATCATGAATTAGTATTTACATTCAAAATAATTTTGCCACAGAATTTTTATCAAGATTTTAAAAATGAATTTTCTGTAAGGAGTCCAATTACTATAGCTTCTTGTTTAACAGTCAATCAATTATCTGGTTTACCTAATTACGAAGAAAATTCAAAATTTTGTCCATGTGATTCTGAATATCAAAGGGTGGCAAGATTAGTATTGGGTGATGCGGTAGTTGAAAGTTTAAATTGTAGTGGTAGAAATGAAAATAATGACATTGAAATGACGGCACCATCAGGCGATAGATGTTGTGGAAATTGTAATGATTGCATTGAATGTAGTAGCTGCGATGCACGAAGATTTCCTCCAAGTTATGAAGATGATCGTGCACAACATTAAAGAAATTTCGTATTTTCATGTTAAAAATTGGTTTAATCATAAATCTGACCAATTATTATTATAATTATTATTTAGTATATATGTTATGTTAATAATAAATACTATCGCTTAATTCATTTAATTACATGTTTCGTAACCCTATAAAAAATGCATTCCAGAAACACAATTTTTAACAAAATTCTTAAAAAAGAGATAAGAAAAATAAAAAACGGGTTAAAAATATATACACATTGTTTAATAACTTTTTTTATAATAAGTTTTGAACTGTTCGGATCAGTGCCGGATCAGCATTGGATCAGCAAAGCTTCTCGTTAGATGAAGCTTCCATAATATATATGTCATATGAAAAGTTTGTGTAACAAGATCATCAATAAGGAACTTCTGTCATGATCAATTTTTATAAAATAATGATTGGTTTATTGTTATTATTACGCGACACGTAGTGACAAGAATCACATGAGTGATCAAATTTTCACAGTGTCACGGTCTTTATTCTCGTGATGTAGTGAGAACAGGCAATCAGTCGATCTAAACCTGCTTACTAACAATCACGAACAATGTAATTACGTGTAAAATCTGAAGGTACGATGAGCAAGTGGAGTAAAAGTATCTTTTTACTGACTGCTTTGCACACTACTGGAACTGAACAGACTTTTGATGTAACTTTGCCAAGAAATAAAAGAAATAGTTTATTAAAGTTTAATATGGCGTATCTTATCACTTTTGTTATTCCGCTACACTAAATTGCCTATTATTATTAGGATTATTACAAATATAAAGTAAAAAAAAAATGTCTTATTTTATTGTTAAGGCCCAAAAGGAATCTCTCTTCTTCCCTTCCCAACCCGCAGTTATTTTATATCTTCCCTTTGTTTACCTTCATCCATCATCATCTATAAACACGGGGATGAACAATTCATCCACCTTTTTATCTCTCGTGATTCCTGCCAATTTCGTGCCACCTCAACAGTTATTAGATGCAGGACGATCTTTATTAATTTAATACATTTATAATAAAGCTGATAATTAATCTCATAATGAAATAAAATTGTATATAAAAGGTAACGAATTTTGAATTTCAATTTAATAATGATAATATTTAATAATGACATGATAATACAAATACATAAATATAATAAAATAATACATTTAAAGAATCATTCGATATTAATGTACGAAACATAATTTTTTTTTGATTATTCGAATTAAATAAATTAAATAATTCAATAGTAGAGAAATTCTTTTTGATTATTCGAATAAATAAATTAAATCATTCAATAGTAGAGAAATTCTTTTTTACGCTTTATTTTCCGTAATAATTTCTTCAACTTTTTCTTTCTTTATATTTTTATCTTTCTTTCGATTATAAACTACAAGAAATGCGATTATACAGAGCACAACAACCCAATAGACAAAATATCCAACTGTTTGACCAAGTGTAGCTTTGCTTCGCCACCCAAAAATTGTTTTCATTATATCCCAAAAATGATTTTTTTTGGGATCACAGCACGTAGCATTCCAGAGGACAATTTCTTCTTCGCCTTCTTTTTTTGTGGCTTCCTCTAATTCATGAATTGCTGTTGAAAATAGTCCGGCGGCGATAAATAACAAGAGTACGGTAGTTGAAATGAAAAATACGTGTAATGAAAGTTTATGGGATCCTGCATAGATAATCCATCCAATAAAGAATCCTGCCAAAATACCAGTAATAACTGGAATAGGAAGACCGGAGGCAGGTTTGTCAAATCCAATCTGTTAAAAAAAAATTGTTAACGTTTATGAAAATAATCAAAATGCATTATAAAGACAGACATGTTAATAAGATATTTACCCCTCCAATAAACACAATCGATTCCAAAGATTCGCGTAAGACAACCGTAAATGGCAATATAATTAAGGCCCATCGGTTCCCTTTTTTGTGTTTTTGAAGATATAATTCTGTTGCATCTTGAAGTTTTCCTTCCCATTTAGCTTTCCATGTCGAAATTCTTACCATACTCAATGACATAATGGTTATAATAACTGAGGCAATAAGACAGAATGCTCCCTCTATTTTTTAAAAAATAAAAATAAAAATAAAAAAATTTAATAAAATAAAAAATTCGATTTTCTTTGTGTGTGTGTAAATAATAAAAGTAATTACCCCATGCTGCCTCACTATCTTCCCATAAATTTCTAGCAACTGTATAGAAAATGCCAATGAAAATTGCTCCAATTATCAATGAAATTATTAAACCAGCACCAGTACCAATCCAGATTTGTCTTTTAAGCTTTTTTCTCAAATTCAAATCATCAGGAACGAGTTTATCGATAAAACCTAAAAGAACAGCGAGTATAATTGTCACTTCTAGAGTTTCGCGAAAGAGAATGAAAAAAGCAGGAATGTCAAATAAATAAACCATATTTTAAGAAATATTATAATAAAAGATATGAATATTAAAGATTATTAGATAGTTTGAAAGTAGGAATGAGATGTAAAAAAATTTCACAACGGAAATACTGAATGAAACATCCTTTTTATAATTATATTCAATGCCATTGAAACATTATTAATTTAATCATTTTAATTTAAAAAGTATAAATATAATTAATTTCCATAAAGAAATTTAATTATTTGTAAGTAGCGTACTCAAAATTGATTCCAATTTTAGTTTGTAATCATCGATCAAAAAATTTTTTTAAAAAATTATTGTCGGATCTTGATAAGAGATCGTTGTACCAAAGAATTAAAATTTTTTTGCTTTTTCCGAAATGACGAGAACCTTATTTTGTTTTTGTCGAGGAACCAGTATTTAGCAAATTGAGTTAAATTAATATATTTTAAATTTGAAATTTGTAACTCTGAAAGACGCCTTTTGTCAATAATTGAAAACAATATTTATCAGATTTCTAAAATCTGATAAAACTATCATTCAAATTTTTATTGGTTGAAATATAGTTATCAGATTTTTCGTATCACGACACAATAATATTTCCATAACTATATTACAAACATTTCTTATATAGTTAACGTTACTTAAAAAAATTCCCAAAAAGGCTTATCAGATTTTGCACCTCGATACATTTTTTTTTGTAGATGCATGAACTTTATCATTCCTTTGAAACTTATTTTATTTATTTTTTTTTTTTACTTACTTGATTGTTGTCATTTATGTCATGTCATTAATAATCATCTATTTCCACAAGATATCTAATGATAAGGATTTGATTATGTAAAATATTTACGAAGTAAAAAAAATTCAACTGGTTCATTTTTCAGTTAATAATACTTGTCACAACTAACACAAACTTTTGTAAGAATTTGACGAATAACTTTGATGATATAATACAATATGTATATATATTACATATAAATATTTCTCAACTTTAGTAAATAATTCTCGCGTGTTATTTAGTTAATTTTTCCAATTAAGAATTCCATTAAAGTGATCTTCCCGAATTATTCCGTAAACATCAACATCTAGAATTGCATATTAGTGATTAAATAGACACTAAACCAAAAACTTTCATAATATTCTTCATTTTTACAATTTAAAATATTTATTTATTGAAAATCCCTACAGATATTTAATAAACGAATTAAAGTATATTTTATATGGAGAAAAATTTATCAAATAAAATAATATGATATGAATTATAAATTTAAAAAAAAATTTTAAATATAAAAGATAAAATGTTTAATGATTTTGGTATAATATTAAATATCTTGGTAGAGTTGCCTAATATAACATAAATATAGAATGAAAAAGAATAAGTATAGAATGAAATAATGAAAAACAATTAAAAATAATTTGTAAATAAATTACTTACACATTCTTTGTCGATGATTAATACACTTCCCTTAATTGAGGAAACGATATCAACAACAAACATAGCTTTTATTTCGGTTAAACCAACGTAACCATGAGACGTAGCGGGATTATCTGCAAACCACATTTCTGTGAAAAAAAAAGGAATTAAAAAAGAATATAAAAAAAAAAACTTAATGACGATCATTTATCACATGACAATGGAACAAATATATAATTTGGGAAAACTTACGACTGGAATATTTTGAACATTTTGTTTGATTTCCATTTTGTATAATGCCGCACATTCCACAACCAATTTTACAAAACGAATAATTACTCCTTTGCGTAATTAATTGTCTAGAATTACAAATAGTCCTTGTACCATGAAACATACGATGTGTTGAATTGTTTTTAAATAATTTCTTATATTCTTCATGAGCTTCAACCAATTTAAAAGGCATTTGTAAATGCATTATTGAAAGAATCTTTTGATTAAGTTTTGAACTAAATAATTTTTCAATTTCAATATATTGCGGGTCATCAAAATTTAAGCTATTTATTATAGTTCTAGTTGTTCTTTTATTGGTAGAACGTGATGTAATTCTGGGGTTAATTTGTTTAATTGGTTTGGTTCCATGGTCTTTGAATAAGATTAAATATCTTGGTAGAGTAGCCTAATATAACGTGAAAATAGAATGAGAAGAATGAGTATAGAGTGGAATAATGAATATTAATTAAAAACAATTTGTAAATAATAATAATTAAATTATTTACCCGATTTCTGTTACTAGTCAATACACTTCCATTAATTGGAGAAATAATATCAACAACAAACATAGCTTTTATACCAGTTAGACTAGTATAACTATAAGATGTAGTGGAATTATCTGCAAACCACATATCTGTGAAAAGATTAAATAAATAATAAACGATTATTTATTTATTACATGATAATGACAATATATAAATTTGGAAACCTTACATCTGGAATGTTTTGAGTGCTTTTTTAGATTTCCATTTTGTATAATACCGCACATTCCACAACCAGATCTACAAAACGAATAATTATTCTCTTGCGAAACTAATAGTTCAGGATTACAAGCAATCTTTGTACCATGAAACATACGATATGTTGAATTAACATTAAATGTTCTCTTATAACCCTCATGAACTTCAACCTTCTTAGTAGGCATTTGTAAATGTATTATTGCCATAATATCTTGATTTGGAAGTCCTGAACGAAATAATTCTTTAATTTCAATATATTGCGGGTCATCGGAATTTAAGTTAGTCATTATAGTTCTAGTTGTTCTTTGTGCGGTTTCGTCTTTTTTTATTTCGTTGTTATTTCGTGTGATTCCATTGTTAATTGATGGGGTGGTATTTATTTCATTGTTGTCTGGTGTAGTTTCGATTTCATTGTTGTCTGGTGTAGTTTCGATTTTATTGTCATTGTTGTTTGGTGTAGTTTCCATTTCATTGTTGTCTGGTGTGGTTTCGATTTTATTGTTGTCTGGTGTAGTTTCGATTTTATTGTCATTGTTGTTTGGTGTAGTTTCCATTTCATTGTTGTCTGGTGTGG